TTCAAAATAATTTTATTTTAGATATAATAATCACAAATGTTTTAATTTGATTTGAAATACGATGCATGTTTAAATGTTTGAATCTATTATAAATTATTTTTAATATACAGGATACCGGATTAAATGTATTAAATGAATCTAATGGAGAATGTTTAAAATGTAATATGTTTTGTATTCCGTATGAAATTCGTTGAATTTAAAATTTACCAACTTGCTGTGATGACTATTTATTAAAATAGTAATAATCTATGATTTAACTGTTTTATTTAAATACGATGAACCTGATCCTGTTTTTACGCGTGCCGCAATTAAGCAGATATACGGCATAAAAATTAATACAGTTAATGTTGCAAAATTCATTGAACACGAGTGTCGGTATAATCTTCTTAGTTGTAGTCTTTGGATTATTATTGTAAGTCACATACACTCAGTCGGCTAGCTCAATACTGACCTATAAACCGAATAGCATACGTTAAATATTTAAGATTTAATATAAGTTAAATTGGATTTTAATTTTTAAAACACTTATGTATGCATTTTTTTTTTTTTGTTTTTATACATTTTCTAGGTTATTTTAAATTTTGAAGAATTTTAAAACTAAGATATAATTTTTAAAAATGTCGTGTATAATCACTTTATACTTGTATTTATTTTGGACACATCAAATTGATAAAAAAAAATCTATAAATAGTAAATACTTTAAAAATTAAAATCGGACAATGTCTAATTTCCCACTGGTTGTTGGTCTAAAACGTCATAATCATCCGTAAAAACAATCGGCCCTTTTGTTTTTAAAAGAGTATCGGGCAGTAGATTAGGGGAGATATTTAATCATTAAGATGGTCAATAAAATGTAAACAAATTATTTTCAAAATTTTTGAAACGAAGACAATTAATTGGACATACTGCATAGATTCCTTTAATACAGTTCCATAAGCGTAGTTGCAATAGCGAAAACGGTACATCCCCTTCCCAATAAATGGGAAAAAACATAGGAAACCGGGGAAAAAAATACGAAAAACCGGAAAATAGGTACAATATTAAACAAAATATATAATGCCCAAGTAATTATTTCACCATAATATGACATATATTGTTGACAAAACAACACTATCAACTGTACTCCATTCAGAATTTTTTTTTCGTCAGCAATAATTAATCGTCACTTATATACATACTTACAGATATACGTAAAAATACAGACATACTTCGCACGTGTATGAGCCACTGGTATAGGTGGTAAGTTAGGAAGGTATGATACATAAATTGAATGTATATCTATGATAATATATATTATCTTCTAAGATAATATTGTAACTCGATACTATACGAAAAGAGTTAAGTTGTCCCGCGCATGAAAGTTTTACGAGTAGTATACTGTATTATACTCCTCACAAAAGGCACGCAAACAAACACTGGATAGGCAACACAAATGTCTTAACTTGTCACCGCCAAAATATTCCTAGGGTAGGCAACTCAATACGTAGTCAACCATGTTAAAAATACTTCTCTTAGAATTGGTTTAATTTAGATATTAATCCCGTTATAAACAATGGTATCCAATAAATAATTATAAAGTAATATTATATGTATATTAATAGTAGTATATACGAAAATTCGATATAATCGAGATCATGGGAGAGGAAGGGGGGTTATGTGGATAGCTGCCCCCTGAATTCGTTTATATGAATTATAAATAATATTACGCGGTTTAGGTTATTTTAATTTGAGTATATTAATTTTTAGGGTTAAGATTGTTTAATATTTTTCAACGCAATAGCTCTTTATTATAATCTCCCTTTCATTTTTGACCCCTCTGTCAGTAAGATCTGCGCGCGTCTATGAATGAATTCCGTACCTAATAATTGCTTGGGAGCTGGGAAGTAACAGATTCGACATTTCATCTTAAGTTTCTTCCGGCAACACGGCTTCCCAAATAATCGTCTTTCGGTTCTACGCTTAACTGGTCTCAAGGACACATTAGGTATGTGCAATTCTTTTTGAATAATATAGCTGATCGTACGTGTTTTTCTTTTTTTTTTTCTCTAGTATAAACCTATTCTTTTGTACTTAACTATAAAATTTACGGTTTACAATCGCGTTTCGTGTTCTGTACCTCCAACCTCTCCGCTTAAAACCCATAATAATTTATACATTATGTACTGATCAGTATTCTGTGTCACATGACAACCCGAAAACCGCTTTTGTTTTTTTTTTTTTCAATAAAGTTGTTTATAGTTGTTGTAATAATATTAAAAATTTGAAATTTCATTGCTTTATTATATACATTATCCATGGCATAATAATAATTTTGTATTATAATCATTTCAAGTATAAAGATCAACGAACGTAGAGGTTATGTAGTTTTTTGCGTCTAACTTATTATTAACATGAATTAATTGCAACAACGTTGATTTTACATAATACAATTAATAATAGGTACCAAAAAATGACATTTATTTTTTTAATAGTAGGTATATAAAAAATTGTTTTGAAAAAAAAAATTATGGTCGACAAGCAAGTGGGTACTAATTTAGGAATGTGAACAAGACGAATTTCTATATTCTTATATGAATGAACGAGAATCTTTCGTTTTTATTTTTATTCGACCTTCATTGCCTCATTGGCTATATTTGTTAGGAAGAAAAAAAATTCAAAATAATGTATTGCGTAAATGTTTTAACTATTATGAAATGAGCATTATTGATGAAATGAATATTTAAGTAGATACCATTAAATCAAATTGGTTAATGCGATGACTCGAGATCTTATTTACTCAGCAGTCTGCTGCATATACTAAACTTGTGAAATCGTGTTGAAATATTATAATAATAACATTTTTTGACAAAAAACATTAGAAATAATTAAATGTTTAATAACTTGTTATCGTTAATTATATGAACAGTAAAATACGATTGTTTGTATAATTGATAGTATAATTGTCGCATAAACTTTAAATTAAAAAAAAAAAAAAAAATACAAACATGTTACGATTAAATGTTATTATTTTTAACTACTGCAGCTTAACCTGTTGTACCTGTCTTAATTGTTTATACATTTTTATATAATTTTCCGTATAGTATTCAATAATTATTAATTCATTACTAATAATAACTAATGGGATTACAACAATTTCAGACAAATAAGTATTGCACATATTGTTCAATATCGTGGTATATCGGTTCCAATATTAATAATATTATGCGTATTGTACATATTTAATACGGTAATATTTAAAACTGCGATTCTCTTGAGTTTTGAGTATACCTTAAGTGACTTAACCAGGTAACGGGTTAGGAGGTGTAGCTTTCCCCCCATTGCTTTTTTTTATCTATAGTCAAAAAAGGTTGTAGACCCTTAAACCCCCCATCACCCTCGTTGATAAATACTGGCTATGCCACTGGGTACCTTTACTTGGTATTATATTGGATAATGATTAAGTACTAAATATATTATAATATTAAATAAGGCAAAATTGTAAGACAATGGCGTAACTAATAACATTTTTAATGTTAGATTCGGAATAAGGGCTATTGGTTTTATTATGATGTGTAGTTAATTTTTTTAAACAAATTTTAAATTAGAAAAGAAACCTTTTTTGTTATATTTTTAATCTAATTGGTGAGTAAGAAGGTCATTTTTTTTTTTTTAAGCAGTTTTTGTTTGAGCGAAACCGGGAAAAAAATATAAAGAACGGAAAAGTCCAAGGGAATAATATTTCATTTTTTTTGTTGTAATTCAATTAAACCTATCCGAAATTTGAAATATTCACAGAAAACCCGTTCTTTTATAATTTTGTAAATTTTCAAAACATTTTGTCGAATTTTGAGTTATTTTTTTTATGTTTGCGAGTATTTGTATATAATTTTTATTTGATAGGTACTATGTGGATATAATTGTTTGAATAAACAGAAATGTTTGAAAATTTATCAGGAGATTTATTATAAGTTGAACTTAGTGTTCTAAAAAGAAAAACGTAGAGTGTAATGTGGTAATTTTTTTTATAATGGTCTTTATTAAGATAAAATTTTGATGGTAAACATCGTAAATATTACGGCCTTTTAAATCATGTATAAATGAACTTCACTCAGAATTGTTCTTGTTTTTTTAACTTAAATTTTTAAAGGGTTACAGGTACCGGCACAGCCCCCATTCGAAAATAATCCCACTGATAATAATTTATTTTATATAATATGTATATTGATTATTGATACTTATAATTAGATTTATAATATTTATCCACAAGATACTCGTACTTAACTGTAATACTATTATACAATGATAATATAGGTAATACATTTTTGATTATATATTTACTAAAACACCCGTGTAGGCTCAAGTGCAGTACAGAACACCCACATAATACAGTTTTTTACGAAGTAAAATAACAATCGATTAATAATGACATTTGATATTGATCATTAATTATAATACGTAAAATGCATACCGTTAATTTATAAAATAAAATGTAGCGTCCTAATCGCGACTACCACCGCAGTTTCGCGTCGAGTGTTGAGACAATACGATTTTCGTATTATGTATATTTATATTATTACGTTAAGTCGCGCGAAATCGGGACCAAAAGTCTAAAGGGAAATCATAATAAAATACGCAAGCGCGTATTTCGTGACAAAGGCATAGGACGTACAAAATCGTACGATATATTTTATTATCACGCGGGACGGACGACTTTTTCAAGCGAGCGCGCCTTTCCTTTCGAAGACGCCAAGAATTTACAAAAACACACGGAATATCTCGGCGTGTAGTAATAATAATAACAATAATAAAACAACATCAATCGTCTGCGCGTGGTTTTTATTATTATTATTATTACTTTTTTTCCTAACAAAACACGACTGCAGGTAAAAGTAGACGCGTATCAACAGGTGAACCGGTACCTCGTACCCGAGGGGACTGCTATCTTCGCGTGTACGGCAACGACGGCGTCGGCGTGGTGGGAGACTCCGGCTGTAACCTGCACAACAGGTCACTTACGACCGCTCCGTCAGTCTACGGGGCACCATCCGCAGTCGTGTTTTACCGGGTCGTATCGCGCGTTATTCGCCGTAAAAAAAAAAAAAAATTTAAAAAAAACAAAAAAAAAACGTACGTCTATTATCCATTATCTCCCCGTTAGGTGTTTCGTTTTCGGCAGACGACTCGACGTCGCGTTACTTCCGTTGACGACGAAAAAAAAAAAATCGAGTGCACGAATCGCGACGGGTGTTATGTTCGTCCGTAAACGCGCGTTCGTCCGTGCGGGTTGAAACCCGTCGCGCTCGTTCCGTTCCGTCGAAACAAAACACACGCCATTTCGCGCGTGGCGTTCGCGAGTGAACCGAGTCGACCGAATGGCCGGCCGATAAGTCTACGCGGTCTTGTTAAGTGCGACCGACGGTGTTCCGGATAGGTTTCCTACACGACCAGCGGGAACGCCGCGCGTAATGCGACGGTCGCCGACCGAGTAGACGCGTGTTGTAAAAGGAAATAACGACTTTCTGGCACGAGTGTCCGTGCGACGGTGAGTGCATTCGTTAATTAAATACCAAACAGTTATCGCCGGGTATACCGTCATGAGCATGATGATGATGAGGCCGTCCGATTCCACGCCCATCTGCCGGTGCAGGGTCCTCTACTTGGGCTCGGCCGTACCGCACATCACCAAGGACGGATTGCAGGGCATTCAGGAACCGCTGAAGGAACTGTATCCGGAACAGGGGGCCCTGGGTGCCCGGGGCATTGATTCGTGGCTGAGCGTCTGGAGCAACGGCCTGTTGTTGGAGAACGTGGACGAGAACCACAAGAAAATCACGAGGTTCTTCCCGATCGAGTCGCTCCATTATTGCGCGGCCGTCAGATTCGTACTGGTCCCCGAAAAATCGAACAATTCGTCGCAACCGAGATTCTTGCCGCTAGACTCGCCGTTCGCGCGGTCCCCGAACCCCAATCACCCGCCACTGTTCGCTGCCATACTGCGCCGGACGTCCGGAATCAAAGTGCTGGAGTGTCATACGTTCATATGCAAGCGAGAGATGGCCGCCAACGCGTTGGTCCGGTGTTGTTTCCACGCGTACGCAGACTCGTCGTACGCCAAACAGTCGGACAACGGGACCAACGGCGGTGGCGGCGGCGGCACGGCGGGTAACAGTATATACGGCACGGTGCGCACCAACAGGTCGATGGGCAACAACACCATCGAAAAAGTCGAGGGCTGGAGGCGCATGACCAACGGGGCTGCCGCGACCGGCAGTACGCTGACCCTGAACAGCGCGCACTCTAACGGCATCACCATGCTAGAGGCTTCGACCAACTCGATCGACGATCTGTCCGAATGCAACGGTGACGAAAACCACAAGGTGTGGGTAGGCAGCACTAAAGATATATCCGAGAAGGAAGACCTGTACGGGGGCAATACGATGCGCAGTTCGCGGTCCGCCAGACCGCGGCAGCTGGTGGGCGGCTCGGCACCACCTCCGCCGCCACCGCCGCCCGTCCGGGACGACAAAATGTCCAAGAAAAACAAAGAAAGGCCGCGCAGGAAGAGAACGCCGACGGGCGGGAGTCGCGAGGATCTGTACGCGCCTTCGTTGAACGGGTCGTTGATGAGACCCATGAACGGCGGCCGGAGTTCCGTGTCGCTGAACGGCACCATAGTGAGTCGGGGACCGCCAAGAGGATTCGGACAGCCACCGCCGCCGCCGCCGCCCAATCACATATATTCGAACGGCGGCTCGATGCTAAGACCCGTGAACGGCTATCATCCCCATCCGCATCACCACCATCCCGGCATGATGCAACAGCCGCCGCCGCCGCCGCCGCCGCCGCCAATCATGATGGTACCCACTACTCTGCCACATCCGAAAAAAATGCACAAGATGAAGCCGGGCATGATGCCGATGCCTCGGCCAAACATGATTCCGGCCAATTTCATGCCGGTACCGATGTACATTCACACCGGTGGCAAAAAGTCTAAGCACGGCATTCCTATGCCTATGCCCATGGCCATGGAAGAACCCATTTACATGCCATCCACCCGGCCGCTCAGCCCCGTCGCGTCCTATCAGCCGGAACATTTCCCGCACGAGGCGTACTTGATGCAACAGTACGCGCACAATAACAACGTGCCGGTGACCAAGAGTAAGAAGGGCAAAAAGGATAAGAAATCAAAGGATCCGATGAACGGCGCCGGGGTAATGCCGTTGATGCCTCCGCAGATGGCCATGAACGGCGGTGGCGGAATGATGATGCAACAACCGCCGCCACCGTTACCTCCGCCGCAGATAGCCGTGAACGGGCACCGGGTCAACGGGAACGGGATGATGTCGGGACACGACGAGACAGACGACACGGAAGACTCGGTGTACAACACTGGGATATATCGGAGGAAGGGGCATTTGAACGAGAGGGCGTTTTCGTACTCGATCCGACAAGAGCACCGGTCCCGGTCGTACGGGTCACTGGCCAATTTGAAGTTCGCCGCACCGCCCATCGTACCGAACGGCGTCAGCGACGGAGTCCCCAACAAGGTGGACATCAAGAAAGAACGAGAGATCATGCAGATGATGCAAGACTTGGAGTTGTCCGGTGACGAGCTGGATCGGGCGGACCAAGTGGTGCACCAGAAACAGATGCATCATCAGAGGCCCGTGAAGACAAAAAGATAAACACATCGCTGCGTGGTAAATATTAGAGATTGTATACGTATTTATCGGAACGTTTATGCTCTGCGTAACCAGTGGGTGGTATTGTAGGTGTTGGATGGTGGCGGTCGCCATGCATACTGTTACACGAGTGTATTACACCTCGATTTGTTTTGTCGTACTCGAAACCCCCGTGACAACGAATTTCATTATTATTATCCACCGTTCTCCGCTAGTACGGTACTCGTGTATCTATAACGTACTGTATATAATAATGATTTTTCATTATCCTTTAAGTTTATATTTTTTTTTTCCACTTCAAAACAAAACCGGGTTTTATACACGCGCGTGTCGATATTATTGAATAACAATTGTTGTTTTTTTTTTTTTTTTTTTTGGCCTCTATAGCGAGTATGGCCCCGAGTCGTAAGAGACAATCGCAGTTTTCTCACGTCATAATTAATATATTTGACGTACCTATACGCTTATTATGCACATCCGATTTATTGACGAAAAACGTGAATATGATATTACAGTTTTACGAATTTATCGCTTTGAGCATTAAAAATTGGTAAATACTGTAAATTAGAAAAATATTATATTGTTTTCTTAATATTACTTTCGAAATATGTACTTCTCCGCATATTAACTTGAAATATAGCTGAACGTATAAGAAACCAAATAAAATGTGTTTATATTTAATTAGTTTGCCGTCGGTTACAGTAAAAATGAATCGCGTGATTTATTATCTAGTCGATGAAACCAAAAAAGTACAGGTTTCAATTTTTCTTTAATAATTCGAATTATACGCTCTGGACGTTCGTAAATATTATAAAATAATTCCATGATACGTCGATACCTATGCAAAGTAGTTATAAAATATCCGCTATAATAATATTACGAAAGTATCAATTAAACTGCGTTACATAGGTACTATAATAATAATATACTGGTTCATATAGTGGTCGTAACTTTTAAAAACTGTTTGGTCGGACGGTTGTAAAAAATTGTGTTATCCAATATTCTAGCGTTCTGTTTTCTCGATTTTAATAAATCCCATGAAATATTTGCAGCCATAAAAATATAAATTACATGTTCGCAAACAAAAGTATACCGCGGAACACAGAGTGTAAACTTTATTATTACTAGTATGTGATTTAACTGTGATTAACATAAATATGATTAACATTTATATTCTCATAATTGTACAGTAAATTAATACGCGCAGTATTTTATAATTATCTGGTTAAGGACATTCGGGATTTACGAGGTGGACCGGAAAATAATTAAAATAAAGCGCGTATAACAGGTACGGTACCCGCGTTACGCAACTTTCATTAGGTATTTAGGTGTAACGTGTACATTTTTTTTAAATTTTATTTTGTAAAGACCGTCCCGACACTAAGTCAATATCAATATTATGTTGTTGTGCACGGTATTATACTATACATAAAAATCGAATAATACGATACACATTACACATTCTGTACCGACATTAATTTATTTCCTCTGTATACGTCTCGCGCGTAATACACGTTAAAAAAGCTTTCTGCTCTCCAGCGATTGCGACACTCCGGTTGAGTTTACCGTCAATGCGCATTACGTAAAAAACGAGTATTAATTATTACTGTGTCTTGATCGTTTTTTTTTTTTGAAAGTATATCAATTTTTCAAAAATTAATAATTGAATTAGGTTGAAATTAAAAACGCGCGTATCTCGGATACGAAACATTACTGTATTAAATTTGTGAACTTTTATTTTTATATACTTACGTTTCAGTTGATATATGTAACCGTGGTACGTATACTAACCGACGACGACAATTGAACAGCCAGTTTTTGTTATTAATAGAATAATAAACGGTAAAATTTAATATTATAGAGTAGGTCAAACGTTTATTATTACCTATAGGTAGTAGTTTTGTGGCCGTACACGAATGCCATCTACTTTATAAATTAAATTTACGATTTTCGTTAACCGTGGGCGCTATTATACGCTAACTAGACCTATAAATATTTTTACGAAAGTAAAAGACACCCGACTAAATTCTATGCACAAGACGCGTTTGACAAAAACGTGTGCGAATTTGTAAGCCCTCGGAATTATAATACGGTTTTTTTTTTTCGATCGTTTCAAGAGGTCTTTTGAAACGAGTATTTCATTTAAATGAGTTGAGTAATAATATTGAATTAGGTTATATTCGGCGGACTCCCACTGTAATTCAGCTAGTGCGGTAGGCAAAAAAACACAGTGCGCGTTATTCTCGATATGTCTATGGGTGGATTTTTTATTATTATACCTATACAAAATACATTGCGTATTCACTATGGTACCATACTGTATATGGCACTGTTTATAGTATATTATTCGTACATTCGAATTCTGAGTGGAGTGTAGAAGCTTATGGTTTTACAATGATGTTTTTTTTTTCCGCGGATAACTTTTCTACCGGGAATTTTGCTTCGATTTTCAATAATATCACTTTTTCCGAAAGGAATTTGGACCGGGGAGATACTTTAGAGAAGTTACTTTTGATTTTACCAGGAGTTTTCCTAAAAAAAAAATGGGAAAAACCAGGAAAGACGTAGTAAAAACGAAAAAATAAGTACAATATTAAACAAATATTATTATTATTATAGAAAATATGAAATGCATCATATGTAATTATTTTACCATAATATGGCATATATTGTTGACAGAGCAACACTATCAACCGAACTCCGCTCAGAATCGTTTTTTCGTTAGCAATAGTTTAATCGTTGCGTACAGATATACATTAAATTTTCATTCTACCTTCCCAACTTTTCACATATGACAGTGGTTGCGCGTGTCCTCGAATTCTAGGCAAGCTTTTTGATTTAGGTATTGAGGGAGACGCAGCAAACGGTATTAAAAAAACGAATATTTCGTACGATACTCTTTTAGTTTACAATATTGAAAATTATACTACACATTAAGGGTGTACCTTATTTAATTGATCTGTACGCAACGAAAAGTCATCGCTGACGGAAAACAATAAATTGTGGAACGGAGTGCCTACGGTCAAATATTGGTTTGGTAATGTTGAATCGGAAAATCGTATCGATTTGTAACTTCACAATGAATTACAACCGACGGTGTTTTTTCGTCTCGAATTATTGAACGTTTTTACGGAACCGATACGATTCAGAATCTGGAAAAAAGAAAAACGAAAATCTAACTACATAGTAGAATATAGTTCACAAAGTAGAATATTATTCGTTTGACGGGTTTCCGTTTATTTTTATGTCAAACGAACGAGAGAGGCTTCTCTTAGGTACTTCACCGCGGTGAACATAATAAATTCGACGGTGTCGTGGGTTTAAAGTGGTCGCTCAGGAATGTACACGGCATTCCGACCGGTCCGGCACATAGGCGTGGCGGTGGACACGGGCGGTTCTAGGGGGATACATAACGTAACGTAAGGTAATAAGACTGCGGGAATCGGTACAGATATAATAATATTTTTTAATTTTTCTATTCCATTTTCTTTCGGTCATTAGTACGATTTACCGAGCCTTGTTTACAACCAGAAGCGCCCGGATGTGTTATTATCTTTATTGGTCCGATCTATTCGGGCGTATTAATTGTTTACTCGAGGCACGACATTATAACGCACCGAAGAAAGTAAGAAAAAAAAAAAAAAAATCGACCAGATATAGCAGCACGAGAGTATGAAATACCGATTCCGACCGGCAAACGGGTTTGGATATACACAAGTACTCACGTATATAATCTTCTCGCTCCATCGCGTTACTAAATATGTTTAGAAACATCGTATTTAATTGAATTTCTAAATACCTACGGGTTAGGGTATTAAAATTAAATTTTCCATTGCAACGACTATTGACCGCGTCAAACTCGATGTAGCCTATGACGTACCTATATAGTACGGCTGCGCGCGCAGTCTATTTTGGTGTGCAGAAATCACCTTTTATAACTAATTCGAAACGTTCCATCGAAGTTCGCCGTAATTATCGTAATATACTTACAGTAAAACGATATTTTTCTGTATGGTGGATGTATATTATTATTATCTAATACACGCGTATAGAATTATCAGTATTATTGCATCAACGTTTCAGTGTTACACTGCCTATAGATGCAATGGTAAAATCACCGTAATAAGTGAGAAATGATAAGTGATAAACAATCGAGTGTTGTGTCGTCGACAACTATTGTAAAACATATATAAATAAACAAAACAAATAGTGCGATGCTCGTAAACTGCGTTCAAGGTGCAGGCAAACACAAAATCACATGATATTATCATGTAAACTGCACCCGAGTTTTTATCGAGTGTTAAAAGGTGACATGTGTAAACTGCGTCCGAGTAAATTTTTAAAAATAATACCTATACAACTCTATATTTCTGCAAGATCAAATAAATAAAAAAATGTCAAAATAATCTCTAATTTATATACTTATGGTTCGTTAATGCAATAAAATAAACAATTAAATAACGAATATAATTTTAAAAAGTACGACATTAGGACAAATAATAACAACACATTGTTCATACACAATATTAGTCCATGTTGATCAATTGGTGTTTTATAAATTAAACTTTCCGATTTTTCACGGTTTTTTATTTTTTGCTTTTAGAATTTTGATATTTAAAAGGTATGTTTTAATTATACTATTTCATTTTAAGTTTCTATCCGAATTTTTTTAAATTTTTCTATAAGCATATGAATTTGGTGAGTCGTATAAAAGCTAGAATTAAAATGAGAATGGAATGACTCGCATGCATTGGTGGTTCGAGTTGGCTCAGCTAACGCTTGAGCCCATAATTAGAAATTCAACAAATTTGTATAAAATATAGAATTTGGTGATAACTAGTGGACGGATTTATATGCGTTTAAAATCCCCGAATAAAACCCTGAAAAATCACTTAAAAATATATATATATATAAAAAAAAAAGAAGTAAAAGCGATGGATCAAAATCCGAAGGCAGTTTATATTTTTTAACGCGGATAAAAACACGGGCGCAATTTACGAAAAAGAAAACAAAAAAAAAGGTCGTTTGGGTGCGGTTTACGCGTGCGCCCGAATAGTGTGCCGTTAATTTGAACCAGTTGACTGTGTAAAATATAAACTTAATACATTTGTAATATTTTACATCGAGCGCGTTAAACTAATTGTAAATATTAAATTAACGTATAGGTGCACGTCTTAAACGACGCGGGCAAAGTATACATTGCGGTTATTGCGGTTTTCGGTCGATCCAAATCCATTATTGTGACCGTCCGTTTAAAACGACCATTAATTATTATCAAGAGGGGCACGAATGTGTGTTACAGTATAAATAATAATAATAATAATAATAATGATCACCGCCCAGGTATTATTATAACGTGAATATTGATGACCATCAAACGGGTAAATGTAACCGCAGCCGATGACCCCGAAACCGAGAACCTGTCGAGAAGAGCCCCCGGGGGCTAAGTTCCGACTTTCCTATACGTAATAATATGTCCTTTTGTGCCACTTTCGTTTAGCCACCACGTGCCGACGCCGCCGTTCCCCTTTCTATAAATATCGATACTGATATACGAGTATTATACTCGCGATTGGTATTAGCAGACGCAATTTGTGCGCAAATCGACACGACTGCGTAATATTAACGCAATTAGCCGTTGAACACCGTTTGCATCGATTGTAGCGCTGCAATTGTTTCAGCGCGTGTTTTTCGATTGCATTCCGATGACGATTCATCGGATGACGCGCACCTACACAAATTAAATACCGCGGTGTATTCTGTGAGACAGCGCAGCGTATTAGACGCAAGTATTATTTCGCCGCGGCACGGGGATTTTTACTTAAAGAATTTGAAAGGGGTCGCGTTTCGAAGTAAGACAGAGAAAAAAAAAAAAACAACACCACTACACCGTTTGTGACCAACGACCGATAATGGCGATGTTGCCGCGATCAGTTACGAAACAACGACGGATTCGTTATTTTTTTTATTTTTTGTAAATTACAAACAATTTTCGTCGTGAAACAATTTCCCGTTTACGGCGTTCAGTCGAGATTTTGTTCTAAACGATATTTCGCAACGCGCGTAATCGTGTCCGCCATTCCAGCACGACAACGATTCGAGCGTTTCTCGAAAATGCGGCGTAGACCACTGCGACATAACCGCTCGGTGGCGTGCGCAGGGGGAGACGTTAGGAGTTATATCCCCCCCTCCACCCATTGGCTTAGAAAAATACATAAAAAATATCGAAATGCGTATTATACGGCAGCCGAGTTACGAGGCAAAAAACCTCGGTGTATTGTTTATAGAAACAATCGGCTCTTTTTTCGGGTTCCGGCTTTTAAACTACCGATTCCCATAATATAGTCGAGTCGGGTAGAGAAGACGATTTCGCGATTCTCATTTTCTACGTCGCCTACCGTCGCCCATTCCCGGGCACGCCACCGTAACTGGGCACTGCAACCGACGAACCGCCGCGGCGCTCGAATCGCGCCGGTTCTCCGATTCCGCACGGACTGGACATTCTGCGCCCCAGGAGCGGCGGCATCGGCGGTAGACCGCGCGCAGTGCCGCCATCGCGCCCTGACGCGGAGTGTCGCGACGGCTTCGGAGACGCTCGGAACTTCCGATCGCGTCGTCCGGATAACCGGCTCTCGCGGCGATTGCGACGACGACCGCGGACCGTGCGTATTCGCGACGCACATCCGGTGGAAAAGTCGCGCGCGGATGAAAAAATTAACAAACGTCTTTGTAAGACCGTAATGTTCTGCGCTCCGCAAACGCGGTAGTGAACGCACAGTGCGCGTTTAAAAAACGGTCATTTTTACAGAAAGCACCCGGGCGTGCCGTTGCGCAAGAGCGTCCCCGTCTCTCCGGCGGAGCGGAGCGCGCAAACATAATAACAGTAATAATAACGATACACGCGCGCGTTTGATTGTACCGTCCGGACGCAATTGTAATGCGATTTATAGCCGATCGTTGTCGGCAATACCGTGCCGGCATGACGGTACTCCTGCTCTAGTCGCGTGTCGTCGGCCAGGGCCGATTTACGCGTATTGGTTTGTTTTGGTAATTTTTTTTTTTTTTTTCTAATTCGCCCCTCGACAACAACATCGACCGGGGTGAAAAACACCGACGGACGTAATCGTAATAATATGCGACGCGTGTTGGGTGCGCGTCGTGCGTCGAAAAGCCTTCCGGTTCACGAAACGGAAAGCGTTTTTTTTCCGTCCGCCCGGCGAAACATTCGAAAATTTCAATTGTGTTCCCCGTACGGGCGCGCAGTGGCCGGACTGGACGATGGCCATTTCGTTATCCGGTGAACGGTTTAAAAACAATCGCGATTTGTTGGCGAATTGTATTATTATTATTATTTTTTTTTTCTTCTTTTAATTGAGTATACTAAAATAATAGACTCGTGGCTTAAAAGAAAGAAAAAAAAAAAAGAGAGCGGTATAGACGTCGGAATAGAGCGCGGCGAGAACAATTTATTATCTTTTGTCGATATTTTATTGAATAGATGGGGGCGAAGGAATGTCGGGTTGCCTGGATAAATTCCAATATCCCAGTACGGATTCGCTTCCCACTCGGCCCCCGAAATTCTTTCGCGGATAATTTTTTCCACATCGTTCGCGGCCGTCCGCAATGCGAAACGAAACGCGATAAACATTCAACGCATATTATTTTATATTATTAATTATTGTGTTCGGGTACACATCGTACCCGCGAGCGAGCAACGCGTTACGTCCGAGAGGTCGACGAATTTTCAAAACGCGATACGTAATAATTATATTATCGTTTTCACGGTGGAAATAGTAATAACGGAATTCGAAGATGCTAAAATATTTGGGTTGACTCTCTTCCTCTGTATACCTATCGGAAATACATACTGTATTATCATCATCATCATCATCATCGCCGTCGACGCATACGCATTATACAGCGGAGGACACGGTATACCGAGACCAACGGGCATGCGAGTATTCCGTGAACTACTTTCGACTGCGGCCGCCGCGCCGCCGCCGCCGTCGTCGTCCTTCTTCCGCAATCGAAAACAGACGTGACGGCCCGGAATCGCGGCCGCCGCGTCACGCGAACGGAAAACGACAGCGATCGGAATCGGCGCGGACTTTACGACCGCCAAAGTCGGCCCCTAGAAACTATAAAATGCCGTAAAACTTCCGTTAACGGTCGCCTCTTGGTTATCGGTCGTTATTTTGGTGTTTTCTCTGTTATTTTCTAAACGCCGAGCGCGGGTAAATCATCGTTACGCGGTTCTTGTCCAAGTTCGTTGGTTTTAACGGCAACACGATCGCGATGACTACAGACGAGGGCGGGGGGCTCTAAAAGCGCGGGGTTTGCGCCGCCTTCGAGCCGACCCCGAACACGGGGCCACGACGGCAATAATAATATTATCGAACGCCGGGTACACGGTAATCGGTAGTCACCGGCGAGGCTATACCACGACATTATAGTCGCGGAGCAGCCATTCATCCGCCGTCGCTCTATTGTCCGGGACAATCGACGTGTAATCGTCAGACGCCGCGCGCGCGCGTTTCCGTGTGCGCGCACGAAATTCGACACATTATGTACACGACGATGATAATAATAATAATAATAACGATAATATTATAATGTAATATACGTCGTACAGCCGCACACGCCGCCGTATCCGGGAACGCTGCGCGGACGGCAACGCCGATACGTACGCGTCGTGTACAGGGTGGTATGCGCGGGTTTCGACGATTTCCCGTACGCAAATCTACGCACTGTTGCGCGCGCGAAATTGTCGACAATCATGCGCGTCCCCGTGCACGCGACGTGCGTTTGTGCTCGGCCGTCAGAATGCAATATCGTTTTGCGCCCCGTCCTCGTCTCGCCCGCGCGTTGTCCGGCATTCCGTTTTTAATTTTATTTTGTTCGGTTTTTTCTTCGCGCGGCGGTCACGCTCGGCCGACACGAGGAAATGTGCAGTCGCACGTCCGTCGCGCCGCCGCCGCCGCCGCCGCCGGGACGAATCATCGTCGGGAGCGTACGCGCAACTCTCTCCGACTCCCGGGCGCCGCGTTTCCCGTCGTCGGCGGCGCGCCGCCAACTTTGCATACTGAAACCGGATGGGGGGGGGGGGAGCCGTCAATATTCCTAGGCACGACCGCTGCACACGACGAACGCCTCCGCGATGCTCTCGGTACGTCATCTCTCTCTCTCTCTCACTCTCTCTCTTTCTTTCACTATCTCTGTCTGTCGAACCCGTCTCGTCACAACTCCCCTACCATCCCACCGCCCGTACCCGTCGCGCGTTATAATAATTAAAATCGCAAATTTGCGCGTCGGATCGCGCGTATTACTATACACACGCGGCGAAACGTGAACGGCGAGCGGATACGCGCACGACGGCCGTCCCGGGACCGCAGCGTACAACGGCCGTAGAGAGAAATGGCGTAACGGAAAGTACGGCCGGCAATGGTCGGCGGAAACTAACGGCCACGTTGTTTTCCCCCGTCGGCGAAGTGTTTAGCCGACGTCGTGTTTTAAATCGCATTGTCCCGCGAACGAGACCAATTGCACAATAATAATCGACGCAAGTGTAACAACGCGCGACACGCGCACAACGCCGTGCGTTTTGAGCGCGCGTGACTGTTCGACCATGTGTTCGATACGCGACACGGCGGTCGATTCGGAAACTCGTTACGGGCGGGGGAAGCCGAAATGCAACGATCGGCTTCGCGTACCCCTTACGAACCGAGTGTATTTATTATGAGCTACGAAACAACGCGTTCGTTCCGTTCGATCACCGGTCGGATGTGTTACCGATAAGACGGTTGTTGAAAATCGGTACAAACGCCGCCGTTCCGAAGTCGGTAAACGATTTTTTTTTTTTTTTTAAATACTTAAACGCGATCGTATTGCAAACCACCGTGCGCTGCTGTTATGATTGACCCGAGCGCTTCGCCCCCGGGACCAACGACAATATGACCGTGTCCGTCGGACGCCGATTTTACATTCGGCGGTGCCGTCCTCGCGCGGCGCCAGTCTCTCCGCTGTGCGACACGCGCCGCACGGATAACGATGTATTTCAATAATATTATCGTTGGGCGTGTTATTATTATTATCAAACAGGTATACGCCCGCAGGAAGAGGTTGCGCCATTGCCTACCGCCTGTACCGCGCGATACCTGTAACCCGGTAACCTCGCGACGACCGTCCGTCGTCGCGGTCGGTAACGTCGCGCGGCATGTCGAACGTACAGAAATACGATCGGAGGCGCAGTGCGCGCGTATTATCGTACACGATTTATAACCCGGTGTGATTGTGAAAATTGCGGTCGCGGCCGATACCCGTGGAAAAAAACCGAAAATAAAAAAAAAATAAATAAAAAAACCGCTGCATTCACAACGTTTCCCGGCGGATTATTACTGCGCGCTCGCCGTGCGGGCCAACGACGCCGCCGTAGAAACGGGCGCGGCGAGAGTTTGGCGTGAACACCGTGTATTATATTATATACCGTACTCCTGTATCGTTTCTCGATAAAATAATAAAAAGTAAATAGAAAAAAAAAACAAGTAGACATCGCGTTGACATTAAAATTAAAAAAAAAATAATATAGCTGCCAGAGACGCCCGCAGTATAGGCCGCCCGCGATCCGTTCGGCTCAGCGTAGGTATATCATACATAGTGTCCTCGTCCTAGGGTACAGTTTTTTTTTTCTTCCGCCAGAATTACAGCAGTTCTCCTACATTCCGAAAGTATAATATTAATATTATTATTCCGATGTTCGGATGATCGAGTAAAGATCGAGCATAAGGTATCGTGTTAACCGTCGGAGGTGTACGCGAAATGTTTTAAAGACTTTATTTTTTTTTCTCCATTATGGTGCATTCAATTATTACTAAAACACCGGGGGAATGAATGCAACGCACATTGTGGAAAGCCCGCGGGATTTGAACTCGCCTATATTTCCCTGCACATTTTACCATATTTTTGCCGGGACAATAATAATATATTTTAAAAATTTAACCGTCTTCCAAAATGCCATGTGAAATATAGTCGTACGAGGAAGGGGGTATACCTGCGGCTGTGTAGGATATGCCTAAAATAGTATCGAATTTAAATTTTTAAAACGCGAAATAACCGTAGACCTAAACGCCTGACGAAAATTGAGGTACTTCATGTGGTTCGATTTTAAAAACGTGAAGATGTACCAAAACGGGTTTGCCCGACCGAAGCGTATTTTCCATATTATCATTTTATTTTAAATTTAATTAATTACCGTTGAAAATTCACAAATCTATAGTATTTCAAACTTTTCATTATCACGCAGATAATGCAATAAAATTGAAAAAAAATGCTCTGACCGATGCAAAGTAAACTCGGTTTTGAATTCAAACATTTTTCATTTTTAACATCGAACTATTGTGTAAGTGTTAACATTTTTGTCAAGCGAACAGTTACTTTACTTTAATAAAAAACGACCGTACCCCTTAAATGAGTATTCCGGCAATAGATTAGTGGAGAAACCTAATCAAACCCAAGAGTAAAAAAATTTTTAATTTTACAAAAAAATGCAGAAAATTAACGTATTTTCGCATTTTTGTCTCGGCCAATGTCATAACTACATGAAAAAGACGGACATACTTCGCACGACGGGTGGGCCACTGTTGTTGTTTAGAGTTGAGTTGGAAAGGTAGGATAATGAGGGGAATTTAATTTATATCCGTATGCGCAATAATTTCTTTTATAATTGCACGTACATTTTCTCGGGTTTTCCCGATTATTATGAAAGTCAATCAGAAAATCGAAAATCGACCTCTTTTCAAGTACCGACTAGATAAGATTTCCTTTCAGAAAAGGTGATACAGTTGGTATATCGGAGCAAAATTCTGGTAGAAAAGTTGTTAAAAAAAAAAAAAAATAGTTATAATAAAATAAACATCAATGTAAAACCAATACATTCCTAGCTACGCTCCGAATCTAAAACACCGTTTATCCTGTATAATTGGTAATTATTCATTGAACATATTATTAATCTAATTAATCCGTTCTATTATACTTTAACTACTATTACTACTACTACTACTACTACTTCTATTATTATACCGCATTCTTGTAATCATCGTTGAATCTATTCATAAATCACTCGCGTGTGTGCAAGTATAATATTATATTACACAGTCTTCTTTAAACTTTTATACGCTATGAAGAACATTATCATAGCCATCGGTCATTTTACAGAATAAAAATTATGTTGACCTTGAAGATGTCAATTGTTTCCTGCGGCGTATAGTAGTTATGTACAACAGGTATTACCTATAGATAATATACGTCTACCTACAGTCAACTAAAAAAGGAACTTAAGATGGTAACAAATAATCACGTAAATATGATAAATTTATTTCAAAGTCATTACTCGAATAATAAATTATTGTTTATACGTAAGTAGTATTTTAAATTAGAATCTGTCGTATTGTGCGCTATACAAAATAGGCATACTTATATTGCGCGTTGTTCGATTACTATATAGCCGGAAATCCGTTGGTTTTTTTTTTCTGAGGGGGACTAAAGAAAGAAAGCTAAAAACAAGTCAGGTTATGTTAATCAATAATCACAACGACGTCGTCCGCTGATTTGCGTATAGTAAAATAGATTCCCACCGTTGTCGGTTTCGATTCTTTACAAACCGCGTACTTAATTATTTTACAATATTATAGTATTGGTTTTTTTTTTTTTTTTTGTGTGTGTTAGAACAAGTCCGGATCCCGGGGACGCCGGTTTCTCGGAAAAACTGCGCGTCCGTCGTGTCGAAATGAAAACATAATCGCGCTACTAGTCTAACGGGTCGGGATTTTTTATTTTTTCTCTTTCGAATTTATTTTTATTAATAGTTCCGGCGGCGATTGTTTGCTCGTTTGCGTGCACGGCGAACATAATATTGTATACGCTCTTTGTTTATGTACGTGTAGCGAAAGACAATGTATAAAACGGTGCGCGCGTACGAGACTACGCCGAGGCGAAAATTATTAATACGGGAATAATACGAAAAACAGAGAAAAAAATAAAATAATGTTTAAAACGCCGAAGGACGAGGGCGACGGAGAAAATCGTTACGGGAACGGAGTGAAAACAAAATGTTGGTCAAACGCGCGTACGTTGGTACGTTACGATATTTTTATCGTGGACGCGTTACGAATCGTTTCGGGCGTGCGCTACAATAACCGATACCGAGGTAAAAAAAAAAAAAAAACAACTACAACAAAGTGTACGGGCCTAAATAATCGGCGGCACAACGTTCACGACGAAAACGAACGATAAATACGACACGACCGTTTTGTCGAGTACGTCGCGACGCCGATGCCAATACGATACGCTGTACGTATTATTCAATTTTTTATACGAAATTCGGCTGGACGGTGGATCCGGGTTGGAGTATAAGACCACGTTGAATACGCCCTGTATATCATCTGCAAGTAAAATATATTATCCGGGCACCTTATCGTCATCTCCGGCGTGAATTTAAATCGGCGGCAAACAAGAAACGATGAGAACTAAAATATTTCCATTTTTCAATCGTCACATCGGTCCGCAGCTTTTTTCTACGAGTTGTATCCTTGTTATTTTATTGATTCGCTTCAAATATATTCCGCCCTAGTCCAAGGTTTTCCGTAGTTGTTCTTATTTTCGATGCGTAATAATTTTAGATTCTGTGCGGAGCGTGGAATGTATTGGTTTTATAATGATGTTTATTACTATTTTTTTTTTTGTGTACAACCTTTCTTCCAGTAATTTTGCTCCGATTTTCAAGTGTAACACTTTTTCTGAAAGGAAATGTCACTGGGGTGGTACTTTAGGGAAATTATTATTTTGATTTTTTCTGTTTTATTTAATAATAAACGGGAAAATGTACGAATTATATTGATTTTAAATCGTACGCATTTCGGCCTTTTAAAATACATTTAACCAAACTCAGCTCAGAATCGTTTTTCATTAGCGAAGATTAATCGCCGACTAATCTCCCTCTAACTCTAACTTCCCAACTTCTCGTCTACAACAGTGGCCAGCCTGTCGTGCGAGGTATGTCCCTTATTTTATAATTTCTTCTTTTTAATACCGCATCGTTTGTTATGAAAAAATGAGCGGCATTTAGTTTGGGTGAACTATCGAATATTGTTTTCTCGTCGCCGAATTTGTTCGGGAAAAACTATCGCATCGTTTTCGTCCCATAACACCGAACATTCGGTTGCGTACGTCGCTATAGTTTTTACGCGAGCACTACTCGGCGCATTTACGGCCGCGTATTGAATTCACTCGGACGATCGGCGGCGGCTGCGTCGCACCAGGTGTGTCTCGTACCGGTATAATATATCTACCTACCTACCTACCTACCTACCTACGACACAAGACTTTCTAACCTTGACTCTCGGATCGGTGTGTTTTTAAAAACTAGGACAGAGTTTGATGTTATAGCCCACCACCAATCGGTAAACACGGACGCACGCACGCGCGCGCACAGTGATCTCTACGCCGTACACGCATACGTGCACGGTGATCTCTACACACAATGGCCGACCATTATTTTTTTTTTTTTTCCATATCGTATATAATTTTTTTTTTTTCTACTCGAGTGCCACCCGCCCCCTCTGGCCTCAGCCGCGTACCTGTGAGCCTAGGAGAGACTCGAGAAAACAATGCGTGCGTGTGTGTGTGTGTGCGCGCGCGCGTGTGTGTGCGTGTGTCTGCCGCTTCATTCCTCGGGTAGGTACCGCCCGCGCGCATACATTACATAAGCGGGCGGCGTACTTACAGACTCTATCCGAGTTCGGCCCGAGCCGGAACGTTGCCGAGTCGGTTTTAGGCGGTTTTGCTCGGCATAACCCACACTCGTTGCTCGAAACCTGGAGTATCGGGTTACTTTAGTTTCCCGAGCGCGATCCTGCTACGCCTAGTCGACGAAAAGCCACTTGTACGGGTTTGTGGACAAAGCACAGGGGAAACGGCATGCTTTAACTTGCGCGTGGGTTGCGACCCGATAAAAGAAAGTCGGCGCCCTACGTGTAAACCTGGAACCCATGGGCTAGACGATGAAAAATCGCGGTGGGTCGCACTGAGATAGGGTCTGTAAATACGCGAACGGGCCACGGTGTGCGTACCGCGGCCTCCCCGGAGTCTCCGGGCTCAGGGGTATCAGTGGACCGTGAACGCGTTGTTACCAGAAGTAAAAAATAATAATAATAATAATAATAATAATAACAAGTGTATACGTGTACCTGTATATTATAATATTATGTACAAGCGTGTAATAATAATATTATATACGTGTGTGCATAAGTTTCCAGTGTCTGCAGCAGTACGCGTTACTGTGTGTCGGCATAGACGTGTATATAATATACCGTCTATATTTTCCACCTATATAACAACGTGATAATGTTATAATATCTGTGCGTGGTGGGGGAGAGGGGAAGAAATAAAAAAAAACTGAGATTATGCGGAATCGTATACAATATAGGTACGTAGATAGAAAAAAAAAAAAAAACAAACGTACGAAAAAAAATCGCGTACGTATTTTATAATATTTACGTTTTACAACAATAATGATACGTTACGAATAATCAAACGGTTTCGCGGTTTATTGTGCAGGTACGTTATTCCGTTTACGACACTAAATATACGGGTACGTACGAGTCGCGCGAGAAGACGGCGCGCAATTCGCGTGCCCGCCAACGGGACCGGCCGCGCCGCCATCGAGACTACGGCCGTATTATTTTAGACGTACCCGTAGCCGATAATTCGTTTCCCATCCATCGCAAACCCATGCGAAACCGATCCGCCGTCCTTTTCGAATCGCTCGCGAGCGTAATACGCGTACCTACCCATAATTTAGTACCAATAACGTGTAGCCGTGCGTATATTATTATTTCGTATGTATTTTTGTAATACGTATACAAATTATACGTATTATATCAGTACTTACGGGTTTTTTTTTTTTTTTTTAAATTCTGAGCGTAGCCATCAACGTATTGGTTTTATTACGACGTGCGCGATTTTGTTCATAAGCTAATTTTTTTTTTTTCGTGCCTTCGAGCCACTTTTCTAACCAGAAATCTCGGTCCGACCAAAACGCGACAAGAGACCCGACCGGTTGGCCTTTTGGAGAAGACATTTTTCGATTTTTCAAGCGGTTTTCATTGAGCAATTAAGAAAAACTGGAAAAAACCGGCAGTTATTTAAGGCGTCGACGAATTTATGCAATTCGTTTGAAATTTGAACATGAGGTTTAACATGACTATCATTTTTTTTATAAGGGTTTTAAGTTAAATTTTTGACGAAAATGATAAATATCACCGCATTTTAAAACATGTTTAACCTAATTCAAATCAGAATCATTTTTCATTAGCAACGGTTTATCGTCGCGTATATATGTAAATTAATTATCTTTATGTATCCTACCTTCTTAACTTTTTTCTATTTATAAACAAATTTTTGACCAGACCTTTTTTTCCAATCGAAAACTTTAACGGAACTTTCCGGTACAGTAAATAGCAAATCTTTAAAGTATTTTCAATAACGAGGAAAAAGATGATAAAACTGGAATTTTTACACAATGCCGTTTTTTTTTTGTTATTCAGTGAAAAATAATTGTAGATACTAAAAATATTTAATGAATATTTTATATTTATAGTAGTATTCACATTTAAATTCATGGTCAATTTATATTGTTTTAATATCGATTGTCCTTTCTTCTTAAAGTTTTATCGTTAATTAACTTCCGCATTCATATTTTTAATACGCGCACTCATATCCCTTCACCAGTCCCGTTCTCTGCATCTAATTACGACTCGAATTCACCAATCAACCGTAACACGCGGTACGCCACCACTCCTTTTTGTTACCAGTATATAGTGAGTATTGGTAGGGTAACCATTATTGTACATTTCGCACAATTATACTAGTCCAGAATTAATTCATAAAATCACCTGCGTTGCAGTTCCGTATATAATAAAACAATAATAATTACAATATAATAATAATAATTATTGTTAATAATAAAATAACGATTTGTCACGTTAAATTGATTGAAAAAAAAAAAAATATATTTAAGCATAGAAAGTTAAATTTGAAAATCGAACACGACGTCCGAAATTCAACATAAATGTATAGTTAAAATACAAACGTTCATTTTCTTCGGGAGACCGACAATGCGATGACATTGACATTTTTAACAATACCATTTGACAGTATACGCTTATGAATGAAAACAAATATCAACCGTTTACAACTGAACACAAATTACTATTCGTTTTGTTAAATAGATTTATGACCGAGAAATAAAAAACTTGAATGAAAGGAGGAAAATCCTACGTATATAATAGTACCACACAGCAGGCACACAATAAACAGCGCCTTTATGCACAAACGACGGATAACCGGAAAAACGCACAGAAAAAAATAAAACATTGTACTGTAATATCGGGAAAAATTCCAATGGGAAATAAGTATTTTGTCCAAACATATAACTCGATTGCTCGTTTGATTTGTAACGAGTTTTTATTTTTTTCGTGTATAACAAAATACGTTTTTAATCGCGTGTTGTACCCGAAATGTATACATAGGCGTTCGTGTGCGTATGAGTAGACAAGAAAAAATAAAACATTTTCGGACTTATACCTACGTACACCTATATAGTGTAGGTAAACGTAAATTCGCGTAGGACAAAGAAACTCTGAACGAAAAAAACATTAATTTACCGATATCCCGTAACCGGTTACTAAAACTTAATAACTCCACCGTCAATATTAATCTTAGCGTTATTGCTTTTTATATCGCGAACGTGGAACACCGCACGTACGTCTGGGAAAATTTTTTTTTTTTAATATAAACGTACATACAGATATAGACCAGCTGTCCCCACTACGCGGCCCTTTAACAAATTTCGTGCGGGTCGTACTAAAAGCGAATCGTAAATTCTAAAATTCAACATTCTACACTTTTAAATAGTAAATAATTCAATAATTTTATAAATTTATCTTTTATTTATCTCATCTTATTATTCTTATTTATTTTATCAGTCTACTTTTAACGCCCGACAAACACCCTATTTTTAAGGCGATATTGCGCGAATTCGAATCGATTTACTGTATGCGGCCCCACAAGTTGTTTTCAAAAATTATATTTGGTCCTTGTAAAATCCTAGTAGGGACCGGTGACCGCTAATATAGACGTCGGGTCGAAAAGATTTAGGTGCTCATCGGAGGGTCTCTCGTTGCAGTTACGCTAAACGTGTTGCGATAGTTTTATATTTTCATCTCTTAAATCGTCTCGCGCAAGCCCGCGCGAAGCATTTCTTCGTGGGAGGCAGGGTTACGAAAAAAATACATAAAATAAATACATCGATTATTAGTAAGATTTAAAGTCAAAAACACAAATTGTAATTTTTCGACCACGTGTTATACTTCAGTACTTCGGGATTCTTGCAGAATTAAACTTGCTTACGATAAAACCAGTCCGAATAACCAAACTATTACTTTACTGTCAATAATCTAGATGCAACCAAGAAAGGCAATGGGAGGAGTTTAAACTCTTCCCTTCCCTTGCACACGTATCAGGTCTCGTAGGAATAGTATCTTCGGTTTCGTTTAAACTATAATATTATAATAATATGTCTATAGGTTCTGTATACACTGCTCGTATAGTTTTACTCCGACACTGCCTAGTGATGATAAAAAATGGGTACAAACTACAAACAATAATATCGTCGACATAAGACGCGTCGTCAGATCACAAACCTATGTGTATACAGGTGTCCCATGAAGAGATAACCATTGCAACATCTTATTTTTTTAGTATTTTTTTTTTTTACAATTGAAGAAACAAGTAGTTCTAAAACGGTACGTTACTATCATTATGTTTGGGGGTGAACCGACTAACAACTTTTGATTTTAAAACGGCAACCTATATTAAAAATTCCATACATAAACGGGGTATTAGTTTAAATATACATTATGGTGTTGAATTTGTTGACTTCTGTCAGCCCGTTGACGAGAGATTTCACTTTTAAATACGCGTAGGGGGGAGAGCAGTGGAGCACTATTCAAACGTTGCGCGCTGTGTAGCCACACAAATAATGCTCCACTGTTCTCCCGCTCCCCAAACTTATAATAGTGGCGTGACCCGTCAACGGGTTGACGGAAATCAACAATTTCGACACCAAAATGTAAAAACTAACTTAACTATATTCAAACCAATACTCCGTTTATTTATGGAATTTTTAATACAAGCTGCCGTTTGAAAATCAAAAGTAGAGAGTCCGGCTCGCTCTAGAAAATAAAGGTGACAACGGAAACGCAACAATTTTGAGAGCTACACGTTTCTCGAAACGTCGGAAAAAATAGATTCCGAGAAACGTTAACACTTTCCAAGATGTTCCAACGATGATATTGTTATCTTCGCGGGCCACCCTGTATATTATACACTTATGAAATATGCATGGATTCGCACATCGCCAGTTGAGTCTCGTCGCATCCGCAGCCGTTTGATACGTGCCACCATCGTTAATTATTGTCGCGTCGTCCGCCGACGAGTCCAGTGATCCTCCGGCGAGCGGTAAACGCCCTCTGCCCGCCCGGTTTTCGCGTAATTTCTTCACACGTCTGCCAACATTCCGACACAACGACTGGCGAGCCATGTATGCAAATGAGCACGTGTGCGCCTGTGCGTGCGCGTGCGCACTCTTAACGAGGAACACTTATGACGCGCGTTTGCGTATTAATAGAAATGCCGTTCGGCGGTCGTTGCGATTTACGCGCCGTCGCGCTGTTACCGCGTGTCTGCCGACAAACGAGACTCGAAAATACTTTCTGGACACGAGTGGGCAATACGATTTGCTGCAGTGTCTGCCGCGCTCAGCCGCTGATAAAAAGGAGCCAAGTGTTTACGGCACGGTCACTTTACCCCGGTAATGATGATAGTACACTGCAGCCGTAACCGCGGCGGTGTAGTTGTCAACGAGCGAGCATATCAAACGACGACGACGACGATGATGACGGTGACGATTCCGGAATCCGCGGAAAAAAAAAACTCGATCGCACGCCGGAGTTGAAATGTTGGTTTTTTTCTTTCTTTCTTTCTTAATTTTTCAATTATTCAGATCCGTTTCTTTTATCCCGAAATCCTGCTCGGTCGACGTTTGACTTTCACGTCGCGTTGTTGTTGGCGTGTATTATCGCAGTGCCCACTTATATTAACACTGCAACGCTCAAATATCTTTTCCGTGTAAATTCCCAATGCGCCGTGCGTTCGTTTATTAAATTTGTACACGAATCCGCGAACGTCGAAAACCGTTCTAGTCGAATTACGCCACGCACTGTAAATGCTAATCGACAATCGTTCGTTGGTGCACGCAGACCGCGGTTGCGTTGCATCCGACTGTGTATGGTGTGGCCTGGGTTATAACCATATAGGTATGAACGTACTACACAATTATTATAAAGTATGTACCATTGAATTTTCGTTCGTGAAACACGTACACACGGCCAATTACGATTATTACACGTTTGATTCGCAATTCCGGGGGATATTGAGATTTTCTCATTTGTCGATAACATTACAGTCATTATAATAATTTTTATACGCAGGACGTATATTACTCGAACATACGCTGGGGTTATTTCTTGTGCACACTTTCCAATTTTTATATCTGATGCGTGTATATTTGATATTCAGCTTTCTGAAAACGGATTTTTCCCCACTAATTCTGATCGATTTTCAACGAAACTTACATGTATATTATATTTGTATTCAGCAACGTCGCATGTCGGAAATTTCGTTTCCCAGGGCAAATAATAATCGCGGTTAGTTGTATTTCGAGATACTACCCAATAGGTATACAAATTACAAAAACAAACGTCAATTCTTATAATTTTTAATTAGGTATGGTATTTAATACTTTTAGTACAATCGTCGACGTATATTGGATTTTAAACATGCGGGTGCCAGCACAATGATAGTGGTTTTTTTAATTTAAATTGTTTAGGAGAACAATTTATTCGTTGGCACATATTTAAAAGGGCGGATATGAAAAATACTCGGGCGAGGTCGCAGATTGTCCTTGACCACAATTCACTGATTTAAGAAATATCCCAACGCTAATGAACCTATTAGATTACTAATTTATAATTAATGATTGTCTGTTGGCAATTTGAATATTTTAAAAACTCGATTTTAACTTACCCGCACAAATTGTGTGCATACTTACTATTTAAAATCGAACGACAAGCACAATACACACATATTGCTGGTAGATAGAAAATAATATATTATAACGTGAACGGTGAACACCCGTATGTGTTGTCTCTGTCTTACAAACGCGCCGCGTAAAACATTTGCATTCAGCAGGACCAACTTTGTACTGTTAGTTTTAATATTGGTGAGAATTGACCTATTATTAAAAAGAAAGGTGAGAACATTATTCGTGTTTATACGGCGATATTATAATTTTTTGGCGAGATTCAAGTATTTTTAAATAATTGTGATGTTTCATTTCATCAAGTTACTCATATTATATGGATTAAAAATTAACGTACAAAAAAAAAACCAACGTATAAACACATATAATATTCTAGCATTGAAATTTGATTATATCAAACAGGTCAGTTCACTATAATATTAAAATTAACAGTACAAAGTCTACTTTGTTGAAGACAAATTTGGTATGTCGTGCGATTGTAAGAAAAATACAGCACTTGTGCGTGTCATATTGTCCTCATATATGATGCCCGCTGTCGGTTTACTAAATTTTCTCAAGTTTTGTAAAATTTGAAAATTATTACTAACATTTTAATGCCATCTTAAAGATAATAATTTCTTCTTAGTCTACTGCCCGATTCCTATTTAAGGTCAAGGAATACGGCCGTTTTTATGGATAGAAATAGGAATAGGGATTGTTGACCTAATATTTCCCTACTATTATTTTTTAATAAACAACAGCATTTTACAAACTGCGTTCCAGACATCAATTTTTCATTTGATTTCAAATAATGGCATAAACGGGTCCTTTTTCAAAGGACTTATTTTAGTATAATGTTTGAAATAAAAATATTGTAAAACGGAATTCAATGCAGTTTATACGAAGTCTTCCACCTTGGAACAAAAATAATACCATTGAAATAAAACCACTCTACAAGGCGTGAGAGTTTTTCCCGTAAGTCATGTTTTTGAGCCGAATAACGCTCTGGCACCGACCTTCTTAAGAATATTCAATAGTCATTAGATATACTCATTTTATCAACAAAAAATATAAAGTATCTAATTTTATATTATATACGAACGATACGAATATTACTGTGTGAAATGAAGACGGAAACCGCGTCACAAATCGCATTGTACACGTATACCAGATACGGTATCTGAGATACCTATAGACAGAAATATACAACAAATAATAATAATAATAATAATAAAATATTGACATTGTCAACTTCTTTATAATGTATTTTTTGTGAAATCGAAAATACATCTTTCCGATTAAAACGTCTTCTCACGTCAATAAATTTCCTTAATAAATTCCGAGCAAGAAACACCGCACATGTTATTATTATTATTATTATATCCGTTTACCATTTAAGGTAAATCCGTAACGCTTTCAGTGTTCATCTCTTTCATTCGAAAGCCTTTCATTTAGCATTCTAATTTCTACATGGTCGCGGTGGTTTTTATAAGGCACTATATCATTACCTATCTATATTATAAATGGTATTGTATACGCTGACAACGACCCATTTGTTTTGAAAACAATGAATAATTAGTTCCCCAGATGGTATATATATATTTTTTAATTAAATATATCTAGAGGTATCGGAAAACAATGCGGACTCGGTGATCTCGAGGGAAATAATTTTTAAAACTCGGCCGCTTGTCAAAGAAATTGATTAATTTCCATCGTTAATTATTTGAATTACAGTCGTTCGATAATAAACATTTTTTTTTTAATTTGGACTCGAAGCACAATCGTGTATCTAAAACGCGCGATGTGACATAATAAACCACACACGCATCGTATTAAAGTAAAACCAATAGTTACGCGCTCAGAATCTAAAACGTATGATTTGGTGCCAATACAGGAATATTATCATAGTTGGTATTTATGTTTATTATTATTATGCTGAACGCACACATTAATCAAATCGCTCAACATTGTACCGCTAACAGCGGCGTGCCCAGGAATTTTCAACAGGAGGATGAGACGTAGTAAACAACCATTATTATTCATGAGTAAATCGTAGAATCATCTTCTGTTATACACCTACGATGACCGACAATGCGAGTTTAAAAGCCAGATTCAAAAGAGCAAATTTTATTCAATAAATCGAGTGTTTTTTTCCTTTATAATTTCAAAACAAAATTACTAAATAAATATTCATAGTTGTCGTATTCTTAAGCCGATGGAGGGGAATGTAACCCTCTCCCCCCCTCTAACTGCTAATTGCAATTTGAATTCGATTTTGCCCGTAATCAATTATACATTACGCGTATTATACGAAGTGTATCCGAATCGTACGAGTATGAGAAATTATAGATTATTATAGGAAACTTTTGTCGATACAAAAATGAAACGCGTAGGCGCGTTATGATATTTTGTTATTATTATTATTATTTTTTTTTGTAATTTATACAGAAAATTTGTATTGGTATACTATACATATTAAAAACATTGTTGCCATGTCTAGGTCATCGGCATTCGGTAGCCGTAAAAGGTGCCGACCGAAGGACACCGTGGGGCCCACGTTAAAATCGAGAAAATCGAGTAGTCGTGAAGACAAAAAATAATATTCGCGTGGTCGTTGTAGCTTGCATCAATTCTAGTTGTATGCATACTATTTTATTATAAACTATTACTGCAATAATTTAAACAACACCCGTGAGCAGCAGAGCCCGGCAACCAGTTAAATACAATCCCATTCGTACTGTTTTTAATTTTGTTTTATTGCTCAATTGGGATTTCTTTTGCTGTTATTATTTTAAATAAATAATAATTTGTAATCGAAAAAAAAAAGAAAATTGTGAAAAGCTCTAAAAACGTGAAATTTCGGTACTGAGTGAATGTTTAAACCCTTCCAAAAGGCATATTATTTTGGACCCTAAAAAGACTAAATTCATATACGAGATGACATCGTGCCATACCTTCAATTGAAGAGGTCTAAAATGGTAAATTCGTACATAAATTGTTGCGCTGAGGCATACTAATAATTTAAACAAATTATATCAAAAATATTGAATAAAACGAAAGTTATTGCATTTGTCGAATCCTCGTCGGACACTCTGTATATATCGTGGTTTAGGGGGTTGTCAAAATGCACCTTATCCTTAATCCACTCTTATCCCCATTGGCTTTCGATAAAGTGTCTACAAATTCTCTACTTTCGGAGAAAATTCTACAAAAATATACGCCTAGCTCTTATATAAGCAAAATTGAGTGTAATATATATTATTGCAAATTATTCTGTGTAGAAATGGCACTGCTATTGCGCTGAGCTCGTGGCTTTTTTCTCGTATAATATTTAATATATACTTACAATTTTTATTATATTTTTTTTTTTCGTTTGCATATAAGCACGTACGTGCGTTAATCACGGTCGTGAACCCAAACAAGTCAATATAATAAAATATAATATCGGGGGTTTTGAACAATGGGCGCGACGATTAACCTACCTATAGTGGAAAACTACTGTGACCCGCCGTATAGGTATGCATATATGTATGCACATTATTTTACGTTATTATTATTATTGTTATTATTATTATTATTATTATGTGTACATAATAATATTATAATATGGTTGACGACTTGACGTGGTCGAATTTCTCGGTCAGTGGCGAGGCGGAACGACGCGATATTTATAAAATTATAATACCTATATATTGTATCGGGGAAAAATCTTTATAGGAAACAAAACGCACGAACTTTTCTAGGCGGACTTGGAAAATATCGAGGGAAACCGGTTTTCCAAATTTTCTCCGATTTCGTAAAATTTAAAAATTATTATTAACAATTTTAACGGCCATCTTAAATATAAAACTTTTACCATGTCTAATATACTGTTCGATACCGTTTTAGCGGGAAAGGATACGGCTGTTTTTAATATTACGAAAATGACTTCGCGAGAATACGGATAATTACCATTGTCAACATGATATTTCTCTAACATTTTTTTTTTTTTTTTTTTCAACAACCACGTCGTACTTAACTCCACGGGAGATAGGTGTTGTTTAGCTTTGTACACTCCCACAGACCCCCCTCTAAATAAAGCCCGGGGGATTATATGTTATGTATGCGTGGTGTAAATATCAAGGACGTGCGTTTTAGTACTTTCGACTTTCAACCCTGTTACTGGAAGTAATAGTTATGCTCGGTTTCCGTGTTTGTGCAGGAAATAGCGGATTTAATACAACGAGCGTCTATCCTTAAAGGGATGGCAGATCTGTTTGTGTGTAAGCCCCCGGAATTGATCGCGAACGGCGACAAGTCGGCCGGGGGAAAATTCGATTTTAGTGGCGGAGCTCTACCCGTGAGTAGAGACTCACGGGTGTTTGTAATGTTCATGCATATTATGCTGTGGTATACCTGACAGTAACGCTCTACTATAAGACGATATTGGGCCATCGAGCGCATTATACCAATCGCACACTGCAGATGACGTACCTGTCCGCGTGTAATAAATACACACTCATTTATTTATATACGCGCGCGGCTTTACCGCTATTATAATAACAGCGTGAACCGATCGGCGTGACAGCTGCTGCGGCGGTATGGCGGCGGTATGGCGGTCTCGCCGCCACCGTCGCCGCTGATAATAACAATTCTCTACTTGCGAGGAGAAAAAAAAAAAAATACGGAACGCGCGACTGTGAAATTCCGTGACGATTTTCCTTTCTTGACACACTTGTAGCGCCCGGGAAAACCGCATTGGCTGGCGGGCGGCGCCCGCCGTACGCGCTTTACGTATCGCACACCTGTACCGCGCGCAACCGCGGTATACTAACCTACACGAAGATATTATCGTAACAGACCGTCATAATAACAATAACGATAATAATGGCGATAATAATGGTAATAATAATAATAATAATAATAATAATAATGCGTCGTAAATACACGGACCGCTCTCGGTCAAACGGAATACTTACTACGCGTATCGCGGCGACCACGAAATATAATATACAGACGCCGGCACACTCGTATATTATTTCGTCGTACGCATCGCGTAAATCTCGCGCCGCCCAACATTGCGGATGTATTGTCTACTGTCGCGAATCGAACGTGCGTTGTTATCGCGTCCCCGCGGGGTTCGACCGTGCGATTTACCTGTTGTTATACGTACGTACGTACGCGTACGGCATTGCGACAACATTGGGCCGATCCGTCATTGCGGTGTCCCGTTCGCGAACGGAACCCGTTTCGGGCGTTATAATAATGTCAATAAATCTTTTATCGTCGAGAGGGCGGTACGGCCGCGTGCCCACGTCGCCGTCGTCTCCGGCATACCGGCACGCGCGTGACACGGCTGATTTTCGTTTGGCAGGGACAAAACCGCGCCGTTCGTTACTTCGACACCACAGCGAATCGACCCATTATCGGATTTGAAGACGCGAACGGTGTGAAGATACGACCGCGGGAAACACCACAACGTAGTAATGCTCATATCCATATGCGGATAAATATAATATGTACTCGCATAATCGAGAGACGTCCGAACCGAAATTTCAAAGGTGGCTACGCACTGTGCACGCACCCGCCTGTTCCCGGTTCGCTGTACGTTGCAAATTCACGAACAGTGTGTGGAATTTATACGTCATTCGCCGTTCTTCATTCGTGGCGCAAAATCACGAATCATTCACGAGTGATTTGCGGTCTTGTCACTCCGGAGTGCGGTAATTGTATAAGATCAAAGAGATCAATAAATCTCGAATCACGAATACACACGAAACTATCAAAAAACTAAAAATATTTATACGATTCACGAACCGTGAACCGTGATCACGAATTCGTGCATATAGCGTGTAGCCGCATTAAAAGTCTCGTGTGGGTAATTAATTGAAAAATTAAATCTAGAAGCAAAAAACCATTACACAAAACAACAACACATACAATATTAAGTATTATATATTGTGGCATGTATCTAATACGATTATGTCGTAGTGGCATAACGAGTAATACGTTTTTGATGATACTATGGCAGTAATATCGTGTTTATTTTTGTTTCAATGATTTTACATTACGACTCGGAATACAGAGATGTTGAAAAAAATAAAACAATCTTTATTGGCTTACATTACAATAATAGTATCATGAAAACTCCCCCCCCCCCCTCGTGACACATTTCGTAAATATAATATAAATAATATTATTACGCGTCGGACTTATACCCATAGTAAATTGACGTTTTGCACTTGTTTATTTGTATATTTTATGTATAGCCACGTATAGGTATTGGTATATTATGCTACGGTTGAGATTTATAGTCTTTTTGGGTCTAAAACCACCCGGTCGATTTCACTGATTGTTAGGTCTTATTGTTTAGAGAGTGGTTTGAACGAGAAATCCAACCCTTAAATTGGGGCTCACCACAGGAAATGTGACCTTAAAGTACGATAATTTCTTTTTTGTTTTTTTATTTATTTCTGGCATTTTAACGGCTACACGGGAAAAACAATTTTCATTTTATTTTTATTATTTTTGTCTCCCGTTCAATACTGTACACGGGCAAAACCGAGTAATACAGATATAGTATGCATAGGTATAATGTAGCAAATATATAGACGACATGGCGCTGGTGTGCGGACCGGTTGTTAAATAGTAAATTTCACATGCGATATAGAGGACCGTGAATAAAGAAGAGAATGTCGGACAAAATGGATTCTGACGGACGCGTCATTAATGTAGGTTAAGAATTAGGATAGAGACAATTCGAAACTATTTAGTCTGTAATATATTGTGTATATTATACAATTTTAACCGGTTAATTATCTATGTATTTACCGACTACGGCCAGTAAAAACATTTGTATAAAAAAAATTATTTTGAGAATTTTGAAAAATGTTTCAAATACATTAACATCAGGCAAAAAATGTAGGACGTAGTATAATACGTAGAATACCTTAAAAAAACAGGGTATTTGTACAAACCGAAAAAAACACATCTAAGTAAAAATTAACGAACAAAAAAACACCATAATTCTTTGTTTATCTTAAGGTAAATTCTATCTCATTAGTAAAATCCCGAACTATTTCATAAATATCTTAGAAATACCGAAATCAATCGGTATTTCGGTTACAATCGTAAATTCGGACATTAATTGGCAGTAGTTGCAGTCAAATCTAGAATTTACCTGGGTTGAACCTGTAGGTTATAGGTGAGTTATTCGAAATTTTATATACCATATTATGTTAATACATAAAACATATGGTCATGAGACCATAAAATATGGTGTTTGTTAATAAGAAAAGAAAAATCACGTTCTTCTTATAAATACACGATAATTATTATCGACTTGAGATCGGAAGTATTTGTAGACAAGCTAGACGGTGACTAAGTTAATCAGTTTAAAGATAAGTTATAAGTTAATATTATAATAAATGGACGATCACGAAAGATTCATATAAATGTATGTAATATTTGGACTGTATACCACTCGAATAATCTGAGGAGTTTCGGCACAGAAAACTGAACGTCCCGAGGAGTCGAGTACCCACCTACCTACTTTGCAGTGAAATTTATAAATCTAATCTATAGTTAATGTATGTAGAATCTGCATTGTAAATATATAGATACTATAGATATCTGTGGTTTATGCACGCAATCAAGTTGAACGCTTTCGAAATAATATTCGTGTTTTAAACCATAATTTTACCGCACAATAAGTGCGTTTATTTTATCAAGGTGTTAATTTGTTGTTGTCTAAAATAAATTCTTCCAAATTTGTTACGTCTCGTTGTGACAGTGTAATAATTTTAATCGTTTCTTACACGAAGTCAACACTTAACCTAATCTAACCTTGATTTAATATAATATTATTGTGACACCGATCGAGTATTTATAATTTATACAAATTATGCCACAGAGAAACCACCTTTTAATGTTTTATTATTTTTGTATCGTGATGTCTACTTTCTTTTTGAATAATTCCGCATTTCCTACATAATTTTCCGTTTTCTTCGCATTGTCACCCTGCAGAACCTTTGATTAATTTGTACTGGCTTCATCAAAATCACACTCTCATTTTTATCAAGAATGCCGTGTGCATCCGTGCTTGTTATTGAGGACAATGCAGCGTCCTCGATTCGAAAATCGAAAATAGTTGCGGTAACCACACGGCCGATAAATCGTCGGTTTTTGCGAATTAAATTTAATTTTCTCGCTTTTAAATATTACTCATATCGTTGAACTTAATTTCGTTAGTTCTTTAAGTTGTAGACACAGACAACGTTGCCTATGTGAACCAGTGGCTAAAAATGACCTACTTACAGTAAATCGAAATCGAATAAATAATTGAAAAGTTTATTACTGCAATATTGTTGCTCAGTGATGTATGCATTATTATTATAAGCGAGGTATTGCGACGTCGTTGTGTATATGCTGCTATTAATAATAATTTGTATTATTATCGAGTACCGGAGCAACGTACTCCGCTTCAAACAAGCCGAAATGCCGAACAGAAATTTAAATATCAGACGGGCATACTCTGCCGACGATATATTATACCCTAGCCATGTATCGAATTGAAAGGCATGAATCACTGTGGACGATGATAGATATACCTCCGCCGTGCCAATGTAAACATTTCATCGTCAGCCTTGAAGTGTGCAGGAGAGTACCTACACACGCGCGTGCATTATTAAATTATGCATTTATTTTCGCCACTCTCCCACGTTCTCTTTCGGAAATATTTGTCTAATTATTATAAGAAAAAAAAAAAAGAATCGCCGAAAATGATCCTCTACGTCCGTAGTACCGTAGTAGTCTACGTGAATTATATTATACTATATGCACTTTTAACTGCATATATGGCACCTCCCACCGGCTGTTAAACGCTATAATCGCCGTCCGTTATCCGAGCCTGTGAAAATAAATATCAAAGAAACAAAAAATTATAATACTTATCATAATGTTTCATAATATTCAAGAAGACAATGCCGCAGCGTATAATATTAGTCGGACACGTTTAACACCGTAACATAAAAACAAAACGGACATTCTTCTTTATACGTAAGTCGCGTACCGAGTTTATAGATCCCGAATGTATCTATATAATTATCACTCGCCTTGTTTAGTTTCTCAATTCCCCCGTAGAAGAATGCGTACAAATACGGTAAAGTGGAATAAAAAAATAAAAAAATACTTTTCATATTTTTAGTTGATTGTAAAAACAATTAAGGTCATACGCATACTACAAAAGTCAAAGAATGCATTGCGCAACAATCGTGTTAAATATTATTACCTTCGCCGCACACCTACATAGACAGCAAAGGGAAACATTATATCAGATTATAGAGCAAATAGCGTCTAATAAGCGACGGTGGTCAAGTAATTTTGTCTTTGGAGTGGAATGTGTGAAAATTAATGTGAATTCAGTAAATGGACTATAAAGTACCTGTTGAAGTAGAGAAAAGATAAAAAAAAAAAAAAAAAGAGAGGTGATACTGCTGATGGGTGTGTCATTGTTGTAGAATGTAGATGTAAAATCAGTTAGATGGGATATATAGAGTTATTATTAGGTATTTTATGGCTGTACGCAATGATAAATCATTGCAACAACAACGATTCTCAGCGAAGTACGGTTAAACGTATTTTGAATTGCCGTGATTTTTACGGTTTTCGTTAAATTTTAACTTAAAATGTTTATAAAAACCTATTTAATTAAGTTCAATATATTTTTGTTTACCTCTGAGTACAATTTATGAGTTACGATAAAACTCGTGTTAAATGTATAAGCATTTCTGCTCAGCTAAAACAATTTTATCCGCAACATAAAACCAAATAAAAACTCGATAATCTCAAATGTCTATAAATAATTCAAAAGTAACCAGAATGTTTTGAAAATTATATCTCTTTTATAAAGGGATAGTATAACGTAAAGGGATTATATAGGTATTTTGTGAATATTTTAGGTCTCTACGAATATTTTTTAATTGAATATCAACAATAAAACAGAATTTAAAAATAACGGAAGCTGTATTATTGCGTAAATGCTCTCGTTTTCCTATGGTTTTTTTTTTCTAAATTGTTAAGAAAAATATAAAACTACTACATACAGAGAGAAAGAAAAACACCATAGTAAAATCAATACATTCCTCGCTTCGTTCGGAATCTGAAATAACAATTTTAATAATACAAATAAAATAAATACCTTGAAACTGGCGGTGTGACGAAGACGATTGTTGGTGACGACGGCTGCAGTAGGTAGTGACAATGTAGGTGATAGTCGGTTAGTATAGCGATAGCCGGTGGTCACAGAACACGGTGAAAACAAGAGTTTATTTTATGGTGTTTATGAGACGAGAGCGAAAAAACAAAGAACGTATTGAAAAAAAACGCATAACCTCCAAAAACGGAACACAGATAACAACGGTGTTGGTGACAAATGACATCTTATTTGGTGTCAACTAACGTTGTACTTGGGTAACGGCTATAATTGATCAATGATGGAGACTTTCGCGAACTGCGCGTAAAAACTAATAATACAATATATACAGGATGTCTAGTGTCGGAAAAGTCATAGATGTAAAACAGTAAAATTAAACGTCATTGTGGACCTGCGGACCGGTTCGTAAATTGCTATTGGAGCCGGAGTGATGAATAGGTTACTATACGAAACTTTCTATACCCACTCTGGGTTGAAAAATTAAATCAATACGAATTCGGAAAATAATTGTGTGTGTGACATTACGAGATAATCTTAATTGTCATTCCAAGAATAGAGGCGATGAACGGAGCTTTATAAACGTCCATCATAACCTTAAGAGCTACAGGCTGGCACAGTGGCATTTGCTATTTCCGTCTTTCTAACGGACGATTTAGTAAACACGGGGTCGAGATGTAAATTTATTGAGTTACGGCGATTGAAAAAATAAATTGTGTATACCTTTGATTTTGTTATTTCGATATTAATTGAGAATAATAATATTATTGTAAAACGTCGAAGTAGATCGTCTTCGAAACTTTGCCGTCTACAAATCTCGCAACAAGCATTTATTTTTTAAAACCGATTTTAAAGGCGTTTTCGTTTTCGTTTTGACCATGGACACGTTACGCAACGCCCGTCAGCACGAAACGAGGCGACGGCAAATGTCACACAGCGACGGCCTCTTAACGATATTTCTGCGACGCAGTGAACCATTTGAAAATACACACTGTGTATGTTGCGTACCTGCCTGTCCTACATTAGTATTGTTTACACGCGCGTACCTATTCATTATTGTGTAGCTGATAATATCTGCACTGTCGCCGTACGAATTGTTACGCGTCGTCGGGACTTGACCAAAGCCTCTACAGTCCCAGCGCCGTGTCCGAATCAACCGTCGGCCGTATTGAGGACATTGGCCGTTTTAAATAGGCTTACGGTCAATTCTGATCATTCAAAGGTCAAACGACGAGTCGGCGTCCTGTGTCATAGGTTTGCACGGTGTATACGAATTCCGCGTGGCCGGGTTCGTATCCGACAATTGTGATACGAAATGTTTACGTTTTTATTATTCCGTTTTCGTCTATCCGACTCGATTTCGCACATAACAGTAAATCGGGGTTTATCGATTTCGATTAAAAAATCCGACGCGGGCTCGTGAAGCGCCCGAACGGAGGTGGTCGGAGACACCAAAATGAAGTCATTTCGCTATACCGCTACAATGACGCTACAATACCTCTCAGATATTTCGACATATTCATATTTTGTACAACGCGGGTAGGCATTTTAAACCGGCCGATCGGAAATCGTATTGTAATCGCGCCATTCGGGCCAGCCCAAAGGTAACACGGCGTGCGATTGGCAAAACAATCCGTTTGAACGATTCGGTTCGTTTCGATCGGGTCATTCGAAATACCCGTTCGTACGGTTCGCCGATTTCGTTTACGCGAACGACGAACCTTATCAGTTATCACATTAATATAGTTTACGATATCATAATGTACATAAATAACAAAATAATAACGATTATCTTTTTTTATTATCTATTGTCCCCTTGTTCAATAGACTTTGCGAATTCAATAATATCGAAATATGTTGGTACGGTTACAGCGTTTGTCCATAACCGCGGTGTCTCAGACGACGGATTCCTCAAATCTCTATCGGATAACATACGTTCGACGAACCTAACCTAACCTAACGGCGCGAACCGATTCGTCCGTGAAACAGCGTGACCCGCGGACGAGAACGAAACCGAACGAATGTTTGTTTCCTCGTCTGTTTCGCGATCCGGATCAATTCGTTCGTTCACAAGCGGAATCGTGTTCGAGTACTCAATTCGAGTTGATCAGTGTTGACTAGTGTTGACTAGCGGTGTCGTTCGAGATATCAGAGGCGATCCCGAACTACCGTGCGTTGAGCGGGATGCGCGTTTATTTAACGACGACGGCGATCGTTGCGCCACGCGAACAGCACGCGCGCGGTACGGATCGGGCCGAGGGTGCACAGATGGCCGTACGCAACAACGGCGATGTCGTCGTTGTAATCGCTGTAGTCGCTGTTGCCGCTGTTGCCGTTATTATTCGTTGCGGCCCGGTCGCGGGTAAACCGGCAACAATAACGGTAACAGTAATAGATACGATAACAATAACAATAACGATAATACAGATTATCGCTCGGCAACGTCGACGTAATCCGTTTTGCGCAACTCGCGCGCGCGGACGTACAAATATCGGCTATTATTACCGGTCGTTTATTGTTATTATCATCGCCGTGCTATCATCGTTACCGCTACGGCGGTTTCGGCGATTGACGCGCGGTCCCGCTCGCGGGTTAACGTTTGGTTTTTTTTTTTTTTTTGTTCTTCTACCTCTGTTTAAATGTCGTTTTTATTTTCGACGAACAATCGCGCAACAATACCCGCGACGCGCGCGTTAATAACGCACTTGCCGCGCGCCTTTCGAAAACGATGCGCCCGCACGGAGTCGGTCACGCGCGCCCGCCGACGTATTACACAGGTCGCGTCGCGCGGGTGACGTAACATCATTTCGGTTCGCGTTCGTCACGAAATGTGATGTTTTTTTTTTTTTTCAAGGTTCCGACGTTTTTATCGTTCCGCGAACGGCTTTTTCCGCCGGGAATTTCGCTCCGGTTTTCGAGCGTAGCGCGCTTTTCCCGTAAGAATACTCGGTACTTTGAGGTGGTAATTTTTTTTTTTTTTTTTTATTCAAGGTTCCGACGTTTTTATCGTTCCGCGAACGGCTTTTCCCGCCGGGAATTTCGCTCCGGTTTTCGAACGTAGCGCGCTTTTCCCGTAACAATACTCGGTACTTTGAGGTGGTAATTTTTTTTTTTTTTTTTGATTTTTTCCCGGCGGTTTTCACAGTGACCCGTACGAAAAGCGTAGGGAAAACGGGATAATTCGCCGAACGTATTGTTCTCAAAACGTGAAATACGGCCTTTCAAAACGCGTATAACCGAACCCAGCTCAGAATCGTTTTTCGTTAGCGATGATTAATCGTTACGTAATATATATATATGTATATTGAATTTCCCCCCCTGTCTTGCGAAGTATGCCGGACGGTTTTTTTGTTCGAGTCATCATACGGCGTTGTGATATGCGAAACGCGATCGAAAACTACCCGGGACTGTTTGAATTGCGTGCTAACGGATCGTCGAAGAACAGTACAGGGCGTTGATATCGCTGGTTTCCGCAGCACAAACTTCTGAACACAGCCGGTTTTGGAGATTCTCCGTGTCCTTCTTAGATTTCGCGTGACCGATGTTTAACGAATATCTTTTACAAACGCACCGATTTCATCAAAACCAAAAAGGTTATGGGGAATCTATAAAAAAAAAAAAAAAATATATGCGCTCCGGAGAAGTCACGGAAGTCAGCGATATCGATCGAATAACTGCTTTTCGACGCGTTAACAAATCCAATCAGTCCCGGTGCTTTTAAACTGCACCTCCTTATAGGTATACATGTACCGAACGCGTTTCGTTTCCTCAGTTTCGGGGCGCGAAATATGATGCGCGCGTTTATCGGGATGGGCGCTAACACACTCGATTATCACGGCGCGCCCTCCGAAACGATTGTGACTCGCGTCGCGATACGATGTTACGAAAAGTGTCCCGGCGTCGTGTCCGCGGGCGCCGGAAGCGGGGACGAGCCAACCGGATTGCAGAAAAAAAAAAAAAAAAAACCCGATTCAAAACCGAAAGTGATTGTATACGAGAACTAGGCGTATTGGTTCGGTGATTTTCGGAAAAAAAAAACACGTCCCGAACCGACAATTATTTTCATTTCGTTTCGCGTCTTTTCAGACATGTGCCGGACAAATTTTAAATAATTATGTCCGTTTTAACGTTCCCGCGGCATCTCGGCCGTCCCTCGCGGAATCGCGGTGACGCGTTGCGGGTCGACGGCCTCGTCCCGAACGCGCGGCGTTAACGGGTCTACGATGACCGTCCGCAGCACGCCCGCGTTCCGCAGTTACCCGCAACTGCGTAGGCGCGCAGTACACCGCGGTTAAACTGTTTTTATGTTATGTTTACGCGTTTTAGTGGCCGAAAAAGACAGAAAAAAAAAAAAAAAACACAAAGGCGGCAGAGGTACTCGTAATATCGTTTGGGAACGTTCTCACATTGTGCTCGTTATAGCGCATTACGATACGTGCAACACGACCGCGTATTAACATACATTTATATAAAACAATGCACGCTAATTGGCCTCTAAAATAATCATTTCGATTAATGAAATAATTATGTTTTTTTTTTTTTTTGTTTTTTTTTTTCCAGTTTTCTTTGACGAGCGTAGATCTGCCGACTGGACACATGCGTGTACCGCAGCACACACCGCAGAGACAACCCCGTTGCTTCGAAACGCAAACAGTTTTTTTTTTTTTTATGTGATTTGATGTTATCAATTATTTTTTTTTATTTGATTTTAGTTTTAGACGCATATTATATTGTGCGCTTGCGTTTGTTTTATTTCATTTTTTTTTTTATAGAACCGATAAAATATCCTTTAATTTTTAGTGCGCGTCGTAAACATTATACGCGATTATTATATTACTCTAGAGTATTATTAATCATTATGTATTATTTTCGTTTTTACTTGAACACTCGTTTCGTGGCACACCCGTGTCGTAGACACTGAACGTTTAATATAAAGTCTTCGGTTTTTTTTTTTTTTAACAGTATTATTATTTTAGAGGTTCAACGCCGGATAAAGTCAACCTGACGCGATTACTTCCGTTACATATGTATGTATGTATTATATTATACGTTATAATTCATTGTTTTCGCGTTCAAACGAAATTCTCACGTTGCATCGTAACGCGATGAAATGTGCTGGATAAAAACAATTTCAAAAGAAAAAAAAAAAAAAAGAACAGATAAATATATCTAAATACGTTTATAGTTTTATAACGGCACGTATTTTACACACGTATATACAGTGTTCATACGCAATTCGCGCGTGTACCGGAATCGTTTTGTTTTATTGTAAATATATTATATTATTGAATACGCATTATTATTATTATTATATATTTTTTTTTTTTAATAATTAATTATTTTATTTAAATACGATTTTGCTCAATAATCTTCTTTTTTGTACTTAACTGTAATAGGTAATTAATTCGTTATAGTATATTATATGTATATGTTATCTATCAAATTTATTTACACTTGGCTATAATAATTACACGACTTTCTTAATTCAATAATACTGCCCATGTATACATGCGGCTAATTTAACTGTATAACGAGTTTTGACGCGAAAATTTGAATATGTACACGGAAAACGGTTATTTTCGCTCGTTTTTATTGTAAATTTTTTTTTTTTTTTTTATTCAAAACCGTACACGGCGTCGGCCGCGCCAAGATTTGTATTTTGAAAAGCGCAGACCTACTACGTAATATTCGCGTGGCCCGTTCGTAAAATAATGGATCGCGAAAAAGTGTAACTTAAAAAAAAAAAAAAAAAAAATAACAACAAATAAAACCTAAAAATAATTTGCTGTTCGTTACTTTTGTAAAACGACGGTATTTTTGTGCGCAACAGAATGTTGAAAATCTCTCTAAAAATGAAAATTATTATTATTATTATTTTATTATTATCGAATCGTTGACTGATGTAATGAGTAGGGATATAGTGTGCCATTTTATGCTTACAATGAATGGTATTTTATAAATTTTTATTGATTTATATCATAATTATTATTATTATTGTGTAATATGTAATATAATATTATAATATAAACATATATATTTTGATATAAGTGCTGTTATTTAAATGTTGAATAAAATACACTATTTTTCCATGATTTATGTTTAGTTTTATGCGAACAGGTTGAAAAATACCTGTTTGATAATAAATGGTGATGTACAGGCGGATGTAATCGAAAGCAAAAAAGTGCTAAAAGTCGATACACAGGGCCGGCGTTTGTGATTTTTTTGACACGCAGGCAAGATTGAATCATTTTTCTATTCCTATACAATCCACTAGAATTTTAGAGGGGTAATATTTTTTTAACAAAGAAAGTCGTCAAAGCTTTAGAACTTTTGGGCATTTCGAATTTTTTTTTTGATATTTTAAAATTCGGACAAGCTATGTTACTGATTCACAAATAGTCACGCGGTCGCTTGAGAGTTTGATTAACTGTTAAGATTCTATTTTTTCTTTGTAGCTTAGGTAGGGATCCCAGATTTATTCGTTATAAATACATTCTAAATCGCACTTAAAATTCACATATATTGCAACAAATCATGTATACGTGACACAACAAATATAATATTATCGTTAAAACAAATTTGAGTTATAAAATTTAATAAATAAAGAAAATTAAGGGACATATGGAATAGGAGATTTAAAATACGAAAAAAAAGTGTTGTATAGAATATTTGTTCGGGACACCGGGACGGTCGTTTCAAATACGGGATGTATGGAATCCCTAAGCTTAGGTAAGCTAAAAATCAACAAAAATAAAACCGATATATTATCATCATATTTTGCCACGATTTTTAAATTTTTTTGTAAAAACGTTCAGAAATCTAATGAAAAATATCCGAGTAGAATACCACCGGGGTCCGGGGAGAAATTCCGCACGTTTTAAGTGCCTACCGCGTGAGAGAATCGGAGCATTTGACTCGCCAAAAAAAGCGTTTAAAAAAAAAAAAAATCGATTAAAAGCTACAATTTATCGGAAAAAGGCAAGTATACGAGAAATGCGTAATAACCGTTTAAACAAATTACTAATAGGCGGGAAATCCGCATCCGTTAAGGCGTAACGCGAGAAAATAGGAGGAATTTTACTAACCGAAAGCGTTTTCCGAGAAAAAAAAAAAAACAAAACGATCGAATTTCCATAAAAATAATTTAAAAACGTATACTGCCTTGCCGATCTTCCGCGCACGACGGCGGCACACCCGTCGGCTCTCTTTTCTTTCCTTTTTTTTTTGTCACCACTTTTCACCACCGCTTGTTTTTACATTGTACCGTAATATCTACAGACGTTCCGATACGAAAATAAACGAGCGTTTACAGTACCCTTTTGTCGCTAATGTATAAAATAACAATCGGGGGATTTATTTTCGGACACGACGTCGACCACGGCACGCCAATTATATTATTGTGCGTGGGATTACGGGACCCCAACGGTGCGACGCCGTTATAAGGGTTATTGTGTTGCGCGCTGTGCGGCCAAGTATCCGCACGAGTATGCCGCGGGATTTCTCCGGCGCGGAAACACACGAGAGCGCGCGACGAAGACACCCGCAGTCGCACGCATTCGTGTACGTTTGTGCCCGCCCGCCCTGGATGTTATCGACATTCACGGTCCCGCACGTGCGGGTGTTGTCGAATCTCGCCGGTCGTTTTATCGGACACTTGAACACTCAATACGGCCGCATATTATGCGTCTTGCAATGTCACGGGTACTCGCGTTTATATTCGCCGGTTCTCAACTAAAACGAATCGCGTATACGGTCTTTAAAACGTACTTCCGCGACTGTAAAACTGTAAAACACTCGTACATTATATGAGATATGCACGGACTTGGCTACGGAGTGTGCACGGTGTGCACAGCGCACACCGCGTGAGCGCCGTGTCGTGGTTATTAAATTGAAAATCAAAAATGATCAAAATATTATAGTTTCCCAAATAGGTTTAAAGCGCTTTCGACTTTTGTGATCAAAAACGAGTCACAAACTACTCTTGTGAACGGTCTTTTTCCAAATCGAATACTGTTAAAACAAGATTAATGTGTAATAAAACTCAAGAAAGACTGGACACGGTGCTCATGCATTGAAGGTAACTAGGATGAAGTCAATGAAAAATTATGTGTTAAAACCAAACATTAACCAACGTTTATTGTTTGAAAAATAAATTGAGTATAATTTAATTACTTTAAATCAATTAGTTTTTTTTTTTTTTGTGGTGAGATTTTATTGAGTTGGGTTGAGTGTATTTATTTTTGTTTTTTGTACCTTCCACAAAAAATACCTAGCCACGCCACTGCAGGTGGTACGAGTTTAGAAGGGGGAAAAACAATACGATTAAAAACCTCTCATGCCGCTAATAGGAAACAAAAATATGATTGTTTTCGTTGCCCAGCTAATGTTGTTGACTACTCGACGTCGTGTGTGTGTGTGTGTGTGTGTCTGTGTGTCTGTGTGCGCTTGTGTGTGTGTCCTGAAGTCATATTCGTTTTAGACGAGTTGTTTTGTTGTTGAGTACGACCGCGAGACGATGCGGCCATATGGGTCGTTAGGGGCCTATTCGATAATCAAAATATATTGTCTACTAAGACTATAAGATGTCCAAGTGGCGATGACGAACCTTGTATCGGACTAGTGTACATGATTAATTTGATACCGAATACGTGGTTGAATACGTTTTATGTCTGGAGCGTAAATTACACTTGGGTCTGTATACAGAACGTTAACGACAACTCGTGTTAATTATATGTTTTTAAGAGCCTACGCCTGTACTCGGCACTCGAACACATATTATATACTTTAACTGGTGATGTTCATTATATTTTCCCGTATTATTCCGGAGGTTGTTGTGATATTTTTCGTTTACACATCGATTAAAATCGGATGGTATGTAGACGGGCTCCCGGTTTATTCCCGTCCGAGTTGGCGGGATAATCGGCTGTACACGCGCGACGCGACGCGTGATGTATATTACAAATAATATCTCATTATGATTATGGTTGAAGGCGAGAAGTCGGGACGGCAGGCCACAATATAGGGCAGTTAAATTCACATCCGTACGCACCGGCAAACCATTGCTGACGAGAAACGATTTTGAGATTAACCGAACGAGTTTTTGAAACGCCGAGATTTTTACGATTTCCATAAAAATATAAACGCCGTTCAAAATTCGTTTTGCATAGCGTTAAATTTTCGTACTTTATCGTTAAGTAGATGAATGCCGGTGTTGAATTTCCGCAAAGCCAACACGAATATATCCGGATGAAACTGAACGAAAACTAAAACAAACGCAAACATTTCAAACGGCCGTAAAAAGCTCGAAAGTTGTACCGCGTTTAGAAAGTGCTAATTTAAGCGATTCGCGATAGTTTCCGGTGTCTGCGATTATTATCTCTAAACGAATTACAACAATAATAAAACAAAATCGAAAATAATTACAGAAACTGTTACTGCGAACACGGTTTCCCGTTTACACGAATTTCGCCCCTGCCGCTCTCCCGATTATCACGTACGCTTGAAGAAAATTCGAACATTTCGCACACGAATCGTACGGAGATCACGGTAATCGAACGGAATTTTCTGCCAGAAACCATCGCCGATGTGGACGATCGGAACGAGATTTCCGGTAGACGGATATTGTTTGCGGACGGGCGAAATAAAATGAAGCAGCGAAACGTGGCGTGAAACAGCGTGTCGTTACGTACTTGTAGTAATAATTTTCGCAACAATAATTCTCGATCCATTATCCAATCTAACCTTATGCAAGAGCAAAACCGACGCGCGTTCACCGCTCCGCTCAGAATCTAAAACCGCCGCGGCGTATGGCACGACTCGACGACGACGACGACCGGGGTGGGGGTGGGGGAAACGCGCTACCTACGCGGTATCGCGTTGTTAAGCCCGGACACCCGGACGCCGCGCGCATGCGGCCGTGCGCGCGCTCACGGCGGCGGCTCTGGTCAACTGGACAAAACCCGTTTCTGGCGTACGCGCGCGCAGAGGCGGGGCGTATCATATTTGATATGCGTTGCGTGCAGTGGATGCCCATAAACTGTAGCGCTGTAACAATGCGCTCGAGTCGGCGCACACACGAGGACGATCCGTTTTCCAAGGATAATATCGTAATGTATACGCGTGTTACGGGGGAAAAAAAAAAAAAAAAAAAAAAATTTTTTTTTTGAAAAGAAAAAAAAAAAAAAAAATCTACGTTATAAACAATTTAATTTTTTTTTTGGCCACTGGAAACCACGTATTTACTTGTACGCGAGTAATGTTGAAAAAGATACACGGACACGCGTCGCACGATGTGTGGGCCGCCGTTGTGGGTAAGAAGTCGTGGGTGGGTGGGCGGTAAGATGTAGCGGGGAATATTTTAATGCTGTAGGTACACGTCTGTGCGCGACGGTTAATCTTTGCCGACGGAAAAAGATTCTGAGCGAGATTCGGTCACGTGTGTTTTGAAAGGCCGTAATATGTTTCGATTTTCGTCGAAATTTGATATTAAAACTGTTATAAAAAAAAAAAAAAATTCTACGTTATAAACAATTTAATTTTTTTTTTTGGCCACGAATTACGACTCATAATGAACTTTCTGAAATTGTCAAGCATTTCTGTTTAGTCTAACAATTGTATCCAAGGAGTAGGTACCAACCGAATAAACATTACGTAAAAAAATCGCAAAATTAAAATGTCCATTAATAATCGTTGCACTTGATAACCGGAACAAAATATCTGGTAAAAAAGTTATTCGCAGAAAAAAAAAATAAACATCACTGTAAAACCAATAAATTTATAATCGCTACGCTCCGAATCTAAAATAACACACCGGAGCCATTGATGGAAATAACGAACACGTGTGCTGAGTTAAATGGATCAGCCGCGGTGCACAAAATATGCATAAATATGCTTATAACACGCGTATAAATACATTGTTAAAATAATATTATGTTGGTACTTTTAGTTTTTACACGTATTATTGTTCTAGTGTCACGACGACAAATATTTAGAAAACTAGACGTACTTGGTGGCTCCCTCTGGACCAAACGATCGTAAACTCGGCAATTAGAATTGTTTTATAGGCGGTTCGTAACGATATAAGTTGCAGGGTTTAATTTCAATATGAACGCCGTCAGCATGCTGCTGGAAAATAATGTTTTTTAGACTGTGGCCGCCACTACAGAACCCCAAACAGGCACGTAGCCGCGGGGGACAAGGATGACGTCGCCCCCCTAACAAGTATTAAATGTGTATATTATGTAGTGGTATGTTTTTTTTAATGTCCCCCCATTAAAATTTCGTTTGCCCCACTTGATGATATAATCCGGCTCTACGGGCCTGCCCCCAAAATGAAGCCGGGGTAATGGAATTTTGTACAATACACATGGCGTTAATAACGGTGATATGTTTTTAGGAGTTTAAAACTTTCATTCCCCACTCCCATTAATTGTATGCTCAAATTTCGCAATTTTTTTTTGGAATTTGTGTGTAGTTGTAGTATTATATTGTTATATTTTATTCGGCTATTCGTTGATTCACTGCGGAAAATATTTCTATGGCACAAAACAGGTAAGGGGGAAAATTCGACTCTATAGCGACGGAACTTCGCTGTTCATGTTTTTTTTTTTTTTTTTATTTTTAATTTTCGTTTTACAAATGTAGCCGTGACCGAATATATGTTGTGTGTGTCTCGTCTCGTTCAATAATAATTACGCGTGATTCGACGGAGGGCAAAATAATTATATTGTTACGGGATCTGCAAGTTTTTATTTATAATAATATAGCCGTGGGTATACGCGAGCAGATACGAGACAATTTTTTTTCCCGTTCAGCGTGAACATTTAATGACCGCGAGCGAAAAAGCGCAGCCCGAACGCGCACGGCGACCGGGTATGTTATTATTATTATTATTATTATTTTTTTTTTTTTGTAAAATAATAATATTATTATGTATACGCACGGTGTACTGAAATATTAGCTGCAATAGTTTTTTTTTTTTTTTTTAGCAATTTTACACATGGTCGACGCCCGCGAATATTATAAACAACAACCGGAATATTATTATAACAACAATAATATGCAAAACGACCTAAATACATGAATAAATCGAGACGTTATTTTCGACTCGGGGTTACAAAACACAGCCGTTAGCGTACCTGAAACAAATGTGCCTGTCGGTATGACGCGTCGTTTGTGACAAATCGACAACGATACGGAATGACAGTGCGTCATCATCGTCATCATAACATACGTATACGTAAAACGATTTGCTTCTGTATCGTTTAAAGTTCGTGACGCCACTGGTCGTACTATTCGTGCCCCGTAAGGCCGTAAATCATAGCAGCCAAACAATGTATCCAAATCGAACCGACGTCGTTTCACAGTTATTTCACAGGCCGAACCGGTCAAGCGGTCCGACGTATCGTCCTTTTCAAAATCGATAAATGCATTTTTTAGTGGAAATATTCAATAACACTTATTTTGTTACGTTCGGTAAAAGTTAAAACGTAATCGTTTGTACTAAATCGATTGTACTATAGTGCAATTGAACCAATCGATCACATAATATCTATAATTTTAGACATCGCAGTTGGTCGGGACGCAATTCGGATGAACTCGAGACAAATCTGTTATGAAAATATAACATATTGTGAACATTCGAAACGCACAGTGCACACGTTGTAATATTTTAAATGGGTGTCAATGGTATCGATCATACGGTTTACCTAATTTACATACAATATCGATAATATTTCGCCCGGGTAAAAAAAAAAAATTGAAGTAAATATTAATTATACGATTATTATTTTAAACAACGTTGTTTACATTGCCGCCAGTCCTGATATTATATTAGTATAACTTATAATTCAGTGGTTAAAGTGGGAAAAACTTCAAATGAGGACTGTGTTATATTTACGGGAAATGAAAAGGCGTTCCCGAGAACTTACTGAACAGAACTAAACTTTCAAGAAACCCATCACGGAGACAAGACTTTCGAGATGTTTTTCTCCCACGCACATTTTCGTTCATGAAAATAGGTTTAATATATACTGGTAATTTTGGGGTTTAAAAATAAACTGCGACCCTCCTACTATTAACTCCTGAACTATTTTATAACCTATTGTATACCCTGTATAGAACACACATGCTTGTCCGGTAAAAATTAAGTAAAACATAATCTGATAATTAAAAAAAAATGTATTTTTTATCGAGATTTTAAAATTACCTCAGTGACAACAACTAATACATACCCCCGGATTTCGAGACTTAAACTAAAGTAAACAGACAGTTTGACCATAAATAAGAAGGGGACTCTATTCGTTTCCGTCCCCTCCTCATTTTAATCGCCGTCTAACATCACTTACGGTTCGCTATACTTTAGCTGTGTCTCGTCTTGTCGAAGGTACGTAAATATAACGTTTGTTTTATAATATTATAACGAACACTTTATTCACGTTGTTCGTTATTTTTAATTATTTTATTATGTATTGCCCGTAGTTATTATTTTTTATTTTTCAGATTGATTTTAATAGAGCCAATGATAACGGATAACCGGTTTTTTTTCTTTTAAACACCGGGTTCAAAAAACATAATATTAACTATGATAAATAACATGAGAGGCCACGGAGCATTTAAAAAAATAAATTAAGATCGATTAGATCGAATAAATTATCAGTTCAATACTTCAATAATTTAAAGCCGTATAATCGTTTATCGTTATTATAATAATCCAATAATGAGTACCTGTATCGAGTTTTCTATATTATCCCGACACCCACTCGCTTTTCATTGGTTCGTACATTCTTCTATACGTAAATGGTCGTCGAAAAAACAAGGCGCCTCCAAACACCTTTACACTTGGTGGTTCATACCAAAAGTTCAAAGACAAAAACGACGGATATACTTCGCACGTGAGTGGGCCACTGCTGTAGGTGAGAAGTTGGAAAGGTAGTAGAGGGAAAATCGTACGAAACGATTAACCATTGCTAACGAAAAAACGATTCTGAGCGGAGTTCGGTTGATAGTGTTGCTTTGTCAATAATATATATGTCATATGATGGTAAATGAATTATATATTATGTATTCAACATTTTCTTTAGTAATATATGTTTAATATTGTACCTATTTTCCTGTCTTTCCTATTTATTGAGAAAATTCCTTGGAAAATCAAAAAAATGACCTCCTTAAAGTACCTTCCCAGTTAGATTTACTGTCAGAAAAAGTACAATAATTATAAATCTGAGTAAAATTGCTGGTATAAAATTTGTTCACAAAAAAAAAACCATTGTTGCACTCCATTCAGAATCTAAAAAATCACGTAGGTAAGTAACAATTATAATACACATATATATGTATCTTTTTCTACAATAATTGATGATAAAAAAAAAAAAAAAACGCAAAATGAAAGACTTTCGGTGAATACGCGTGTAGACCAAATACTAAGAGGACGCTACCGTGAATAGTGTACTTAAGACTTTTTACTCTTCACGGACGTTAAACATACATGATATGTTGCACTGTCTTACAAACGTACGATATAACTGCAAGTTCGTGTTCAGTAGAACCAATTTTGTGCATTTAGTTTTAACACTAGAGTAAATTTACCTATTATCAAACTTAAAAGTAAGCTGCGTGTCGGATTTGTTCGATAGTTGCATTTTTAAGCGAGATATAACTGATATAAGCATTTTTAAATTGTGATATTTCATACACCGGTACCTCGTTTCAAGTTGAAAACCACCGAAAAACAAATATGCAAACACAGATAATATTCTTTCCTTGAAGTTTCACAATGGGTAAATTCACTTTAATATCAATTTCGAATAAAATTCATGTATTACTTATTACTTATACATTTATAAATTGTTATCGTTAAACCGACATTATAATATTTATGGAATCTGTGGACTGCAGTGCCGTGCACGATCTGGATTTTAGACCCACTAACCGATCGACATTCAAAATTGTACGTTGAACGCTAAACATTTGACAAATCTTATTAAATAAATGTCCGTTATTAAAATTGAAATTCGGCATCGAAAAATTTGAAAAAACCCAATAGAACGAATATTAAATCCAACGACAGAAAAATTACCATTTCTAGTCCGATGGTATATAGCAAATCAATTTTTCTTTCGAAATCCCCTGAGTTCTATCTACGCCATTAAACATAAGATAAAATAAAATATAGAACGACAAGCCTGGAATTTTATATAATTTTACGAATTTCCACAGAACCGTTAAATTTGTTTAAATATTGAGGTTTAAAAATAAAAAATTATTTCCGCCATCCGAAAGGAAAAATATCAATTTTTATAAAACACGAAACACAATTTCAACCTCGAAATCATAATATGTAAGACGCGAACAATTGGAAAAACATTATAAAATAAAATATGATCAATCTAACTTCAACCTCAAAAATCGGCAGAGTGGTGCCTATAATTCGTCTTCGTTGTGCACGGTAATAATGTTACTTAACGGTTTCTTGTTCTTTATATAGAAAAATAAACTGTACGGCGTGTACAAAATATTCACGAAAAATGCTCATCGCGTGGTTATCGAAGCCGTTGAACACGGCAACGGATCTTCTCGTAAATAATATTATCGTTAGTGGGCGTACATTGTTACACAGTTTTACATACCCGATGAGCAGTAGCGTACGCGGGGGGAAGGGCGCGGGAGGTTAGGAGTTGTATCTCCCGATCGACTTAAAAATATTAAAAAAAACACATCGATTTAATATCGAAATGATCGTGATACGTTTGGACCAAGTTACGAGGCCTTTTTTCTTTTTTTCTTTTTTTCATCCCTAGGATTCGGCTTTTTAAATTACCGATTATTTACCCGCAGTCGGGCGTCGGGGTACGGAGAAGAGGATTTTACGATTCTTGTTTGCCGCGTCCTCCCACCCACCCCCCACCCCCTCCCAGCCATCCGTTAAAAATTCTCGGACGCGCCGCCGCGGTCGTGTATAACGTAACGAAAAGGCGGGCGGCGGGGGGGGGAAAGAAGAGGGTCCCGCGTAAATATATATACATATAAATACCGCGGTATGACGATAACGTACGACGATAATACCGCGCGTTGATGCGGTTCCGACCGGATAACCTTCGGACGAGCGCGATTACAACGTTATGCCGGGTCCGGCCGAACGAGCGGGCGTCCGCGTGTAACATTGCCGTGTCCGCGGGTACGCGACGCGCGCTTTTTGCGCAGGCCGATAGTGCGGGAAAACGTTCGGTCGGACGGCAAAAGTTTTCGAAACGAACGAGACGACGAAACAGAACACGTCTGGACGTCAGGTTTGGATCCGCTCCCGACGCAGCGCGCAATAATAACGACAACGACTATTGTCGACAATGCGTTTGTGCGCGGGCACGTGCCGTCGTCAGTCGCCACGTGTTACACGCGCGACTAGTCCCCGGGTCGCGCATTTCTTATCGGACCGTTATCAGCATTGAGCGTTTCGGGGCCTTTTGAATCACGAAAACAATCCGAATCCGTACGATTGAAAACGCGCGCGGCACGGTTTTGAACGCTGATGTTTACATTGAAATGCGAGCAGGTGTTTGCGTGTATCGAGTTTCGGACTGTTATTAAATAACGGACACTCGTGCGCGATTTTCCGGAACAAAACGGGCGTGAAAGTGCTCGAAATGTAGACATTTTGAGCGTTTTTCAAGTTGCTTTGCGTCGCGTTCGCACGTACGGTTTTATTGGCCCGGATCCGACCGCACCCGGTGGGGATTTCGATCGGACGGCACCGTGACGTCACACTAACCGCGCCTGTTGTCGGTCCGTGTCGTACGATTTACCGGGGGCCCCGCCTGTCGTCACGAGGTGTACAGTTTTCGCGAGATCGCCTGAAGCTGGCGGCCACACGCCGTTCCGGTTTGCCGGCGAGGTTGGCCCGCACAGTTTTTCCGGAACGTGTGTGTGTGACAAGTTTGCGCAGTGTTCGGGCACTGTACAGGCGGCCGGGAAAGAATCGAAAAACGATTATTTTCGCCCGTGCAGTCGTGTCTGTACAGGCGTGCCGGAGCGTGTGTGACCGTGTGTCGTTCGTTACCGTTCGACCAGTCGGTTTGCTACCGCGACACCGTGCACGTACATGCTACGTGCGTTTAATTTACATTGTTTTATTGTAATATCGAAACATATTATATTATACCGTAATATTGTAATGAGCCGAATAAGAGCCAAGCCCGCCAAAGCTACGGCGTCGCCGTCCAGCGCTGCCGTCGTATGTGAATTTTAAATATTAAAAATCCGACGAAAAAACGAGCGAAGGAAATATGAACAGAATGTTCAGAATACACAAGGACCGTGGACCGGAGAGTGACCGGAGACTGGCGACCGCACAGTCCGGCCACTCCGGCGAACCGGAGCGTGCGCGGAGTCGCATCGTCGTCGTCGGAAATCGGTTAAATCTGTGTGCAGACTAAACGATGCGCAAGACGCGCAACCGTGCACGACTTTGACTTTTTCGCCAAACAAACGAAATGGCCGTACGCCATCGTAATTATAGTACGGCGACTCGGGACATTTTAACTGTCGGTAAAAACCGCGTCACAATGTAACAACGTGCGTGTGTCGTGCGGACCGAAAATTAAACGGGTACAAATTAGCATACGCGAGACGACAACGAAAAACAAGAAATCCACTCGGGTTTATTGTCGTTGTTGTTTTACCGGGCCGGGGTCGCGATACGAATTCTCCGGGACCGGACCCGCGAATTTATACCGAACCGTCTGCGAAAACGAAATTGTACAATTGAGGGAGGGCCGAAGACACGCGGTCAGTGTAGGCACGGTGTTAACAGGTGCCCGGTGTAGTTTTGAAACGTATGCTTTTTTTGAAACGCACGTCGACTCTCGGCAAACAATAACGACAGCGGCTGGCGTATTTGCGAGAGGGAACCGGGTTTGGAATTCGCGGCGCGATCCGAAAGCGGCGCGGGGGATGGGAACGAAAAAGAGCAGGTGCAACAAGTCGACGATACAATTGCACCTACACGCACGCGCGCGCGCGCGCGCGCGTGTATACAATACGGCAGGGGTGGCCAACTGGTCGATCGCGACTCCCTTTCGTCTTTTCTCGAATTTTTTCCCGAAAACGAACAAAACCTTATTATTTTTTTTTTTTGCAAATTTCTGCGTCTTTATTGAACTCGCGAATAAATAAAGTGAATAAATTAAAAACAATGAAATTTGTAATCGGACGTATTTGAACACGAGACGATGGTGTAAAACTGTGAAATCAAACGTTTCGTATTATTATTATACTTGTTAGTAGGGATCGGACGTTTATGCACTTAATGCACAAATTACCAAACACGCACTAAAAATCACTAGAATATGCATTTTTAGTTCGAAATACGCACACAAAACATGTATTTTACCTTAATCGAGGTTAAATACTTACGTATTTAATTTTTATGAGTAATTATTTTAGTAGTTATTTGCATGCATTGTTTTTTATTCAATAGGTATTACACATTAATTTACAACAAAAGCGTCACAGTGTGACATGCGCAACGGTTTTATTGAAATTTGCATTTGCTTTATATTCCGTTATTAATTTAAATTGTTTTTAAAAGCGTTCGGGAATGTACTGAAACACGCATTTGTATTCTTGAAGTCCTGAAACGTGCATTTAAAATACAAAACCGTGAAATATGCAAAAATGCGCCAAAATAAAAACAAGTATTATTTGATTCGGTGGAACGTGAATCGAATTCGTTTGCCAGGCCGGCATTGAATTGGACGGACAGAAAAAACTACGCAATTCGATGAAAATCCGAACCCTACGGTTATTCGTATTCTGCATAAAAATAGTGCGACACGCATGGATGGTATATTATTTTTGTTCGTACACAATGTACTGACGAGACTTGTTTTTTTTTTCGGCCGATCGCGACAACCCGGGGGGAAAAAAAAAAACTCGGTGGTCGATCGGCCGGTCTATTATTAAAGTCGGTCACCCCTGCAACAACCGACAGGTACACCGAGTCACACTGTAGCACCGTAGGGTGCGCGCTGCACAGACGTCGCTGCACCAGTGAATCCCATTGTCCGATAAAATTATTTTCACGTCATTGTCCGCCCCCTCTGAATCCTGTGGGCGGGCAACGTTGACGAGCGAGCGCGAGGTGCGCCGGGTGCGTGCGGCGGGCGGCCGGTCTCGCGGACTCCGTCGGCCGAAAACGAAATATTCGAACGAGAGTTCGTTCGTTTCGGGGCCTAGTCCGCGTGACAAAAATTGGCTAAAGTTCAGACATTCGTTTCGTTCGGTCATCTCGTTTACCCGCACACCGCGTGCGTCGGGGTTACGTTTGTTGTTATCTACGGGGTGTCTTCGGGGGGGGGGGGNGGGGGGTTTGGAAAGATTTCTATGGAAAACTGCCAGGTTTCCGTTTAAACGCCGCGCGATACCGTGGCGGCATACACGGACCCCACGGCGCGAGCTCGTCTCGCGATTCGTCCGGTCGCGCCATGACGGTAGAACACCCTGTGGACGCACAAACCACAACACAATAATAACATGTACAGCGCGTACGAACGGGTCGAAGGGGGAAAAACGCACGCGACGGTGTTATCACAATAATACCATTACTATGATTACACACTCGTTTGATAACAATACGCGCGCGCGCACGCGTTTGTTCTTTTTCCCCCGCGCGCAATCGGCCGGGACCCGTTTTACACGCAACCGTATCGGGTTGTCTTTTGTCTCTCTTTCGTTCGCTTTACACGCGCGCCCGGTTCCGGACTGACCGCCGCACCGTTGCCGGAGTAACGAGTAACGTTGCCGTAGGCGCGCGCGGGGTTCGCGGCATTTACGCGCGTCGCGGCGCGAACGCCGTGCGACTGTGGCGAGCGGCCCGGGCGCACAGTGCGCGGGACCCGGTCGGGAAATATCGCGGAGGAGGGGGGNGGGGGGGGGGGGGGGGGGGGGTGCGGTCGTTTTTTCCCGCGGTTTTTTTGCACAACGGTATTTATTTTCGTATCGTTTTTTTTTTCTGCGACGATGGCACATTTTCTGATAGGATATCGGACCGGTGAGTTGGTGCTTTTGGAGGGGTCGTTTTTCGATTTCACCGGCAGTTTTCCGGATAAACGGATGGGGCGGGAGTTTGGTGGTGGTGATGGTGATGGTGGGGAGGAAACGGGAAAAATAGGTAGAATTTTAAACGAATATTATTAGAGAAAACGTTTAATGCATATGTGTATATTGTATTATTGTTGACAAAGCAACACGATCGACCGAAAATCCGCTCGGTTTTTTCGTTAGCAATGGTTTTTATCGTCACTTACAGACATACATTAAATTTCTCTTTTACTATCTTCTCAACTACTCACCTACAACAGTAGCTGCGCCCGTCCCCATCGTCCTAGGACAGCGTTATTTTTCTTTTTTTCCCCGGATTTTTCGTCTTCCAATACCAAACGCATTGCGAGTGTTTACAATACGATCGTTCGATAATTTTAATTTGTATTTTCCTATAAACAATCGTGTGAAATTAGTGTCTGAACTAGACCAATTAGCAAAAGACTGGTTAGGGGGGCGTTGGCCGCAGTCAGTTATATCGGCGAAGGGGCGCTGAAACGAACAAGGTGTAGACGGTATAGGCCAGTGGTTTTTATCCGGTGATGGGGTGGGGGTATTTAGATACTGTACAGGGGATTATAGTGGTGATGAAATAACGAGAATGTTTTTGTTAAAATAATAATCCCATTTTACAATCAGTAAAATCGAAATCAGTAAATTCATTTTAGTTGCACAATATAATACAATTATTTTGTAAAATTTGTTTGTACGGCTCTCACTAAAAAGAAAAAAAAAATGATCGTCTAATCTAATTTGAGGAGGAGGAGTTTGAGATTCGTTTTATTAGGGGAGCGTAGAATACAATAGGTTGAGAACCACCGGTATAGACTGATACAGACAGTGTAACTGATGGGTCTTTTTCCGCCTGCGATACGAGTGTAGGGGAAGTCCTCCCCTCACTGTCCGTATTATTTTTGTGTGTTTTACACTTCATACTGCAGTGCTCGAAACGGGAAATGTATCGAAACGTAACGCATCATTACCGTTCACTCTGTGCCCCTCTGACTCCGGCACATCTCTTCGAGTACGAACCTATAACCCAATATAGTAAAAGCACAATCACATTAAATCGCTATAGATACTCGCACAAAGTGCATTGTCATCCATTAGAATTCAGCGTTCGGCGGCAATATAGAGTTACTTACAAAATGTGTAGTTCGAAAGAAAAAAGAGCCGATACCGGGGATGGGTGCGCCACCGTTTTCTGATGGGAAGTCGAGTCCGATACACGACGGTGGTAGCACTTTCGCTGAAAGAAAATCTGACTGGGAACATACATTAAGGGGGTCATTTTCGGTCAATATACGATAAAATCACGACCGTGATTTTTGTGATTTGCGCGTGATCAATTATTGTTTTGACATTTCGCGGAAAATCTACGCGCCGCACATTAACAAAGCCTTTTTGTTTGGACAGTTTAAATTTTTTTAACGGACTTTACGGAGAAACGGAATTGGCGATCGCGGACCGAATTTTTATTTAGTTTAAACAACTATAACATATATTTGCGCGTATATCGAGTTAAATATATTGTCTGGGCGTACCGAAAGTGTACAATATTTTTTTTTTTTTTTTTTAGAAACGATCAGGAGCATTGGCGTCCTGCTCTTTAATATGCCGTTTCAAACGATTCGTATGACGATGCTGAGGCTAACCTGTTTGAATTCGCCACGACCGCGACGCATATACTAAAAACGGGTTTATCGCTAAATAATCCATAACATACACATCTGATCCGGGGTTTTGTTAAGAAAAAAAAAAAAAAAACCGAAATTACTGTTTATACATTATTTTTACATTTTACTGGCCCGTGCCAAAAATAAAATGTAGTCCAACAATAAACTAAGTAACCGGTCTCCATTAGTCAACTACACTGTTCATTATGCGTGTCCTCGCGACTTTTACATCCCTTATACTTATTTATTTGTATGCTTTAATTTTTAAGCTGATAAAGTAAAAAAAAATGTGTACCAAAAATACCAATGACCTTGTGCGAGACCTCCTTAGGGAGTGTATTATGAATGTAAACTTTCCGGAAGAAATGAAATGGGAAATCGGGTCAAGCGAAAGTTTAGGACGAAGGTGGCTAACTTCAAATAGTTGGGATGAAACCGAAGGAGAAAATGATTACTATTGTGTATGGTTTTTGAATGAAAATGTTCCATCTTTGTTCATATAGAACAGTTATACAATAACTGACACTTATAGTACCTGTGTACGTTGTAATAAAAGTAAGTCGACATTTTTGATTTATCAAATGGCGTCGTATCTACTACTGTAAAAAAAAAAACATTTAAAGAAAAATTATAAATTAATATTAATTTTTCATATTGAAATTTCAACTTATTTTGTTTTTCACCTAGTTATTCCTAATTATAATAAATGATTATTCAAACGGACTTTGGTGTTCAAGTGAGAGTGCATATTAAAATATATTCAGAATTCCAGTGCAATGAAAAAGATCCCATTTTGGTCTTGCAAAATTATTATGAACAATTACATATTAAATATTCAGATATATTAAAAAAAAAACATTGACATATTGAAAGACACTAAAATTGTTTGTTGGAATGCTATAAAATACACAATTTAGTCACAGTGTTAAATGAAGCATAGAATCTAAAAACATTCATTTACACGGTTTCTGAACACCATGGCTAAACATTTTCAGGTTATTGTTAGTATGCAATCTTTTCTTATTTCAATATAATGCGCACAGGAATAAATAAATAAAATATAATTTGATAAAGTAAATAATATTGTTTTATACTGAATAGGAGAAAAAAAAATTACTTCAGTATGAGTATAATAATTTAATATATGATTGTAATTCATACCTGTATAAAAACATAAAACTTATTCACTCTTAATAAAACTAAAGACAATTATCAATACAGCGAGATAAATAAAATATATTTACTGTTAAAAATATAACTATAGTGTACACCATACATAATATAAATGCAAATTTTGAAAAATACAAAACTTTAAGATACACTCGTCAAACAATAAACTTTATAATATAATATGTTTAATTATTAATTTTCAATGTAATAAGGGCGATTTGCAATTTGCAATTCAATATTAATAATAATAATAAAAAAAAAATGTATTCAATTTTAGCCTCAAAATGTTTTAAACATGAATAAAAAATCACTCTTAATACAATCAATCAAATACAAAAGGAAAGAAATGAAAAAAAAAAAAAAAAAAAACGCTGAATATTTTGATAAAACTTACTACTAGTAGAAAATACTATTAAACTAATGACCAATAGTGTAAAACAAAATATTACATAAGGAAATAAGAATACACTGACACACTGAATGAATTTAAAATTTGGCACAATGTTATGTTCATTACAAAGACTGAATTAAATAATTCTGGTGTAAAGATTTTAATTATTGACTTAATGATACCTATTTTTAAAGAAACGCAAATGTAAAACTAATGTTTTTGCCGTTTCAAATTATCTTCTATAATTCACCAGGGTTTTTCAAAATTTTATTTCATAAACTATTAATTTTTGGATTTTACTTTTTCAGTTTCATAATAAATTGAATGTCGTACAAATCGAACAAATAGTGTACTTTTGTTCAGCACACACTATTTTAGTAATTTCAATTACTGATGTAACGCAATTTTGGATTTTGTATTAAAGCTAAGTAACGATGTAACAATTGGAACCATACGAGCCATAATATTACAAATTTTTATGATTTATTATGCATATTAATTATCCAAACGAGTATAAAATAAATCATTATAGTATCAATTAATGGAATGGATACATGAAATGTATTAGTCAAATAAATGAAAATAATAATATAATTTCTGATAATAAATGATTCTTTAAAGGTCCAATATTGGGCAAATATTTAATTATGATATTTATCATAAAAAAAAAAAAAATGTTTACTTCTTTTTACTTTTGCCTAAAGTAAGTGTATGATGACCCATATTCATGAACTGTTGCTTTCTTTTGCTGAACTCCATCAGATCATCTTCAAATTTTCTTCTCTGTTCTTCTAATCTCTTCTTTTGCTCATCCTGGTCTCGTTTCAATTTATCAAATTTGGCATGCAACTAAAATTATAGATAGTGGATGAAATATAATATTATTTGTAATTTTTTTTTTTAATAATAAAAATGATAACCATTTTTAATATTTACATATTATTGCATAATGTAAAAACTTTCTAAGTGTGATATGCATTTACTACAAAACAAATGTTCATAATTCTGAATATTTTATGATTTGTATCAATGCAATTGTTTACAAACTAGAAAACAAATGTATCGTATATTATTCTTTATCAAACACTATAATATTGATCAAAGATAAAACAATACACATTATACACAATAGTAATTAGTGTACAATTATTTACCATTGAATGCAAAACCTTCAATAAACTGAATAATAAATAACATTTTTTAGAGCATGAAACAATGGACAATTATTTTATATTTACTTAATAATTATAATATTAGTTGGAGAATTTGCAATAGGCCAATCTTTCCTTGTAGTCAGTTCAAAATTAAATACTTGTAATAATATAACTTATTGTATCATAATGGAAGAAAATGTTATGGTTATGGTACTAGAAACTATATATTATTTATATTATGCAATGTATATGATTTTTGAAAAATTTCTAAAAAAAAATATATTATAATTTTAAAATTTGTGTTTTTTTTTAGCAGCTTCACATAGACCAAAATGGACTAAAATATGGTAAATTAGAGGTTTTTATAGGTAGATTAAAATGATAAAAGTTGGGTTTCTAGGCTGTGAACACATAAAGACCTCCCCTTCCAAAATGAAGCTATGGAGATAAAGTTGTATATATGCATTCAATATCCATGAAATTAAATAAGATTAAAATATTACGTCTTTTTCAGCATCTTTTAATTCTGATTCCTTTTCTTTTACTCGGACAACAAACATTTGTCTCATCTCATCTTCACGGTTTTGAAGCTCTTGCAAATGGTGACTACGTTTTGCTTCAAACGATTCCTGGAAGCTTAATGGTTTGTTTTCATTATCCACGTCGCTAAATCCCATCTATTAAATTAATATTAAATTACTAATAATACATTGAATTTACAGTATGTACAGGCAAGAAAATGATTAGGGTGAACATGCATGAGCATTTTCATGAGACATTCACATTGTTGTTTGGTTATTTGGATATTCACACACATCACACAGCAAATAATGCTACGCTACACGAGAATAATGCTATTCTCGTATGCTAGTATCAAGTTATTGCAGGAGTAGCACACTAGTTACTACTCATAGTAAAGTTGTTCCCTAGTAAATTTGATTTACATCTTTATATTAAACAATTTCATTTGGCAATTAAATTAATTTATGTATAATTCGTTAAATAATGAATAATTAACAAATTGAAAGTAAAGCATTTATTTGAATGCATTAATTAAAATAATAAGAAAACTTAACATAACTGAAGGTGGTGGATTTCATAGTTCTAATAAATAAAAAATAATAGCCAAAACAAATGCAATATTTTCTTAAATGTCGATTGATGAAAACTAGTAATTATTCTAAAACTTTACAAGAATATCACCTCAAGCTTTTAAATATTTGCTTACTAGTTCTAAAATAATGAAACAATACACAAATGAAAATTTATCCTAGTTTAAATGGAGTATGAACGAACACACTTTCGAGGTACACATTTTCTTCGACCTATTTAGAGTGTTGAACACATTAATTATGCACAGGATATTATCTTCACAGATGGATAAGAATGTCGAATATGAATGTTAATGTGTGCTCATGTTATTCATGATCTTGTTTGTTTATATCTTTAGATGCATGTAATNGATAAGAATGTCGAATATGAATGTTAATGTGTGCTCATATTATTCATGATCTTGTTTGTTTATATCTTTAGATGCATGTAATGTTAAAAAAAATTAAAATTTTACTTGTTCTAATCGCATTTTTCTATACAGCTCATAATGTTTTTCATGAGTCTTTTCACGCAAATCTTCCATATTAGTTCTGATCAACATTTCTCTCAGTTTAACAAAATCACAATGGGATTCATTTTCAACTGTCAATACATAAAGGAGTATAAATCATTTTTAAATGTATATTTATATATACATTAACAAATTTAAAAATAATAATAAACCTTGAACTGTTCCCCATGGATATTGACGGGCACGCACCATTTTGTTAGCAACCTTAGCAAAATCTGTACTACCAACTACAGCAAACGGTAGATGAGAATTCATAGAGGAATTTACATCGGCCACAGTTTCATCTTCAATTGGAAACTGATAGATCTCTACGCCATTTGATCGCAACTCAGTTATTATTTTAGTCTAAAAATGTATCATTTAAATTTATATAGTAAACTAATAAATTATATTTTATGTAATCTTATTGATATAAAATAATTTACCTTGAATTTCTGTAATTCAGACTTGGATATGGTATCAGCTTTAGCAATGATTGGAATGACATTTACCTTTGTATCAAGTTTTTTCATGCATACCAAATCAATTGATTTTAAACTAAAAAATATGATAACACATTAAACAATTAAAAATAAATTAAATAAAAGTCTGAAAAATATTTGTCTACGATTTAATAATCAATCACATACTACATTACAATGTAATCCACTATTATAACACAATTTCTTTAGAAATTTGAAATTTATTTAATATAAATATCTTTTTACTATATTTTTTAAAACTAGGTTCATATTATGGCTTACACAAAACTATTGCTTACCGAGGCAAGAATACCCTAAGTAAGTTTCTCTTCAAAACTCTGCAGGCTAGTTAAATGATAATTATAATAAATAATTTTAAAAATTGAATCTAATTGAATCTAATTGTACCTAATCAGTAATTGTACTTAATATTATGAGTATAGTAAGGAATGTACACTTTTTTTACTACGGTGTATGGATTTTTGAACAAAATTGTAAGAGATTTAGAATTTTTTTTTTGTCTATTTCTACCTATTTAGGATTAGAAAATTTCTTTCAGTCATTAAAAAGATTAATTATTGATTTTCATTTGTAGTTTTCTATTCTAAATAATGAGAATATTAAAAAAAAAAAAATGGTTACTATTCATTTTGATTTTTGTTGTAACTAGTGAAAAATATTTGTAAAAAACCTAAAATTTTCACAGAATACTTTAATACCACTTTTTAGACAAGGTAAAATTAAATAATATTCTGGTATTTTTATAGTTATTATTAATATTTTTTTTTTTTTTGACAATTTTTAGTTTCAATTTCGTTATACATGGATATAATGAGTAAGTAATAATAATGTCAATAATAAAGATACTTACCAACAAGTCTTCAAAATAAAACATTTTAAAATATATTTAATACTGTGATAAGAGTAATGTAGCGTAATATAATAATTGAGTATCTGGTACAGGTTTAGTAAATTTTAAATAAACATTACATTTACCCGTGGCCAGTAGGACAAATGAAATATAGACAAGCGTGAACCCTTGTGTCATGGTAAGAAGACAGCAATCGTTTTACTTTTAATTCTTCTTGCAAATAAAATTCAAATTGTGTATCAATGTAGTCTACAATCGATTTGAAACTGTCTTCTTTGTTTATTTGATCGCCATAACCGACTGTTTCGACAAGAGTTAACTAAACCAAATAGAATATAAATACAAAGTCGTTATTAATCTTATTGAATACACAAAATATATATTATTTATAAATTACAAACAGGTACATTATAAATACATCGTCTGCATTTGGTTTTACACAATAGACTTCCTTAGATATCATTTCAAAGGAGAGAATTACTTTAGTGAAATAATAATCCAACACTTATTGAACCAAATGTTTACTACGTGAACACATTAAAATATATGAAATAGCCGTAGGAACATTAAAATAAACGATAATGATGCCGCATAGGTAGTTAAACATTAAGTGAACAGTTTTAATTACGAGGAATAATCATCGGTTTTTCAATATTTTCAATATTAGACATTGATGCGATAAAAAGAAATTATTGTTGTAAGATGATGGACAGACACTTTCATTTTCCACGAGGGCAATAATGTAAAACCAGTTTGAGCTCACCTTAAGTTGAACGTTACTCTCTTGCAGTTCATACGTGTGCGCCTTGAGTTTTACATTCGGCAAATTGTGAGTGGACGGCGTGGATTCGAAATTGGTGTTGAACAGCGAGTCCATCAGTGTAGATTTGCCCAGACCGGTTTCGCCTGGAAAAAATGTTTATCAGATCCGTGTACCTAGCCCACCTGGACACAGTATCCGATGTAATGTCGATTGAAGTAAAAAAAAAGGTACTCACCAATGCAGAGTATGTTGAAAACGAAACCGTTTTGCGCAGACTTTTGGGTCAATTGATCGGGCATACTGTCAAAGCCGACATGCCCATTCAGGTTTAACGTGCGCATAATCGGGGTCTTGTTGTTCTCGTCCAACTGAAACACACGTATTCGTCAATGTTTTACATACGAGCAGGAAATGGGTTTATAGAATTTTTTTTTTTGATTTTTCAAACAACGTCTACGGCACATACCTTAGGTCTGTTCATCACCGCGGCCATGATTTCGAGTGTCAGCGACTAATAAAATATCTAACGTACAGTAATTATAGTCGGTCGACGCCGTGCGTAGCCGGGAACGCCTCTAACTTAATTAATATAATGTATTTATTTCGTTCGTAGTGCTTACAAGGCGGTGTTTATTGTTTAAACGTTTTATTTTATTTGTTTTTTTTCTCTTTATCGCCGAATTCCAATTTGATAGCGTTACCGAATGACTCATTCTACATTGGATGACTAAAATGTCGTTTATCACGGTTCGAGAAGCGCCCGCCGGTGCACGGGCCGCTGCAGCAGCTAAGTCGCGCCGAATCGAAGTTGAAATTTTTACCAAAAGATAGCGCTACAATAACCTGTTTCGTCGACAACGCCGCTTAAATTACTTTAATTCGTGCGGACACGTACGTTACGCCGCCCCCTCCCCCCAATTTTATTTTTGCAATTTTTTCGCGTCAATAATTAGCACTCGATTCCTGCGAATTCCTAAACCATATTTTCATAATGTCTGCTCCACCAGTTTTCCCGGAAAATCGAATTTTTCACGGGTGGGGCTGGGATAACGTTACCCCAATCCCGTCAACCTTCTAAATTCAACTTTTTGCCAACTAATTGTTGGCGCAAAAAAAAAAATTGCGAAATTCGAATTGGAGGGGGGGGGACGGTCGGAGTAACGCACGTCGTACGGTTTGTGTGACATCGGCAGCTACATCAAACCTATCAAACCGACGAGTTTGTATTGCGCGTTTTTTCTATGTTTTGAATATTTACACGGTAAAACGGCTGTAACGTGAATTCCGGAATCGACCCGTGCAATAAAGCGAGCAAGAACGCGCGATCGTCCGGAGTTTTTAATTGCCAAATGAGAGACGAAGAAAAAAACGTAGGCATTGTTTAAAACGTATGTTATTCCACAACACGAACAATTCCGGAACCTATTGGGTACCTGAACCGCGAATTCCCGCGGTACATTGTTTTCGATCCGAGACGCTCCAATGTCGTACGCCGTAATAATAGATAGGTACCTAGGTACGCGTGTTTAGTGATAAGATGTAAACGTCGATAAACGACAAGTGCTGCGCTTTTATATTTTTAATATCTGTCGAGTGTAGAAAAACCGTAAACTGTCCAGATTCGTACGGACGCGTTTTTATTACGCAGGTACCCACAGCAATAATAATACACTTAATTATTGTTCTAAATATTATTGTACTTTTACACTATAGTTATGTTTTGAAAAAAAAAAAATAATTCACTCTAACTTACGGGTTCGTTTTAAATGGCAGTTCGCGTGCGACGGCGAAACCATTAAAAAACGTTGCAGTTTGCGCGGTTACTCTATTTATACCCTAGGTAATACTTATCTGGGTATTTTAATCGTATTCGCCGTGATAAAATCGACGATGGGTTTTCAATTGGACCCAGTAAACTGGCAGTAATGCAGTAATTCAATAATCCCTACGGAATTTGCTTGGCGTGTTTTTAAAATTTTCATTAGGCAAACTATAATCAAATTACGGTACGGATCGTTGTGCGACTAGCATTATTATTATTATTATTATTTAACCGGACGAGATCCTATCCGACGGAAATCACACCGTATTCGGCCAAATTTAAAAAAGCTCGATTCTCTTTTGCGACCGAAATCGCGCACCGTTCCCTTTTCGGCAAAACCAAAACGATTATGACTGTATGAAACCAAAAATTACATAAATATAGTATACCTAATACAACTTTTTCGTCAATAAACTGTTCAGCCGTTATCGTTTATTGCCAACGTAAAAGATTTAACCGGCAATACAAAATATGTATCAACGGATTTTCACGGCTCTATCACAGTTTCGAAATAATGTGACTGTTTTTTTACCGTACTTACCGAAATCTATAAACAAAACTTACGAGGTGTTCACTTGCCGAAACGTCGCCTAGGATCGAAAAATTCGAGAACGAAATTCCAAAAAATAAAAAATGTATCGTAGATTGTCAAAACTCTATAGGTGCACTGCACGATTCATTAAAATACGCTCTATTATTATAAATAGTAAATATGTCACTGAAATATTAAGGTGCCGATTGAATAATTATTTACGAAACCGATATAATATTGTGTTACCGTTTGTGCACGATTTTTATTTTTAATGCTTTTCTATGTACGCGCATCACATAGTGTGAAAATTGAAAATCCGATCGGGCCGAAGGGTACGATTTCGGTCGGAAACGGCTGTGCCCTTTAATTCGCTGTCGAATGGCAACAATTATTATTAACGGGACGACGTATTTTTATATTACGCTGTTACTATTGCAGTGTTATTTTCACCGACTGTGAATGGATTATCATTTATTGTCAATCGGCTAGGTTTTCGCGAGTCCGAACGAAATGAAAACTATAATCGCACGTTCTATAAAGTACCTACCTATAAATTATACCTATATGCCCAAATGGTCACTGAACGATAACGTGCGTTCGACTAGGCTAGACTAACAATTCAGACTAAAAATCGTCCAAGTGTCTCCATTCAAGAAGGAATCGATTATTTTAGGCCACGGCCTATCCGTTCCTCGGTTATCTGTAACCACGACATGCCACCGTATTGTTCCATTGATGTGATAGCGCAATGATTGCGATAGGTTTTCAGTTATAATATGACTTCGTTCGGTTTTTCATATTCCTTTTTTATATACGGACTTCGCGTATTTGTTTAGTTAGGTTAGATAGGTAGCTTTCTTTTATTTTTATTTTTTTTTTACTACTACCTCAATTTCCGCGTGATCGAAAAACTAAAATTTCGCCCAACGAGATTAGGTATTATTGTGTAACGGCGTGCGCTGTGTTAAGATAAAATTATATATCAAATAGTGTAACGTACAGTTATTGTTAAAATTATAGCCACGAATCATTTTTGGGGATTTATCAATATTCCGCCGGCTATCGACGACTCCGCCGGACACATCGATTCCGCCGGCTATCGACTCCGATTATATACAATGCATACGGGTAGAATAAACAAGGTAAAAGCCTTGAACATTGAATTTTGTTCAATAAATCAGAGAAGAAATGTATACACATACTATAATAACTGTACAGACCTGTTATAAAAATAGACTAATCGGGTAATACTAATCGGATAGTATTATATTATACAGAGTGATTTATTTTCTTTTTTTTTTTTTATCACGAGTTTTCTCTTAGGGTTTTGAGCGAATTCGATTTCTGTTTTTTTTTTTTTCGTGGTTAATCTTTAATTTTATAACCCTATTCCATATGTGTATATTAAATAAGTGTACACTTTCGTTTTTCAACAATAGGAATCGCCCGTTTTGAACACCGATTCGAAAAGAACATATTTTCCTTACAGAAATGTCGATTGGTATGCCAAAACACTTACGCCAGATTTTATTGTCTTTGGAATTGTAACCGTTTAAAGTTTAGACCGGAGGAGTAGGGAAGGGTAACAAATTGCGTATTTATTTTGGAATGATAAATTATTGATAACTCTTCTCTACTCCTCCGGTCTATACTGAAAACGGTTGTAACTCCAAAAACAATAGATCTGATATTAGTGTTATGCATATCAAAATGTTTGGAAAAGCATACCTTATTCGAATGTTTATTGGAAAACGGGGGTTCCTACTGGAAAAATAAAAGTACATGCTTTCATAATGATTAGAAGAAAAAACAGAAATCAAATTCACCTAAATTCCTCCGAGAAAATTGCTGGTTTGTGGTAAAAAAAAAATCATCCTGTATAATACATTCATTCTATCGGAGATTGCGTATTATCGCGTCGATTTCATATCATAATCTGTATAATAAATAAAAGTTTTATCGAAAAACCGGAAATCAGAAATACAATATTACAGTGTGCATTTTCCAATATGGTCTCGTGTTCAAATAATACAGGCGTTTATAATGTGCACGTTTTATGCTATACCGTACAAATGAATTTTAAAACAATTATTAGCGAACGGAAAAATCGAATAATTTTACACGAGTACTTAAACACTTTATATTAAAGCGTGTGTAAAATACTTAGATTCGTGTAAATGAAAATGTGTCGATAAAAAAGTGTATTGAAAAAATGTATAATACATCGATTGTGCCACGGAGACAATCGTAAAAGACAAAAGTGTACATAATCACGAAGAAGGACAACCCGAATCTGTAAGAAATCTGAAAAAAGGCCGTCAAAAATTGTAACGCACGGCCTAAATTATTCTTGACGAGTACTGACGTAAACAATATAATATATTAACGTTTGTACCGGCCTCGTCGATCTGTATATCCAACTTTACCGAAAAATATACCCGAAGTTATTGAAGTATGGAAAAATCGGCAAAATAAAAACTGTTGAGAATGAAGTGTTTTTACTTGATGTTGACGCGGGAAATAATATTATATCATACTCTAAAACATCTAATTTCAATTAACTGTGTTGAACCCATAAAATATTTGTAGATGGCACATTTTATAGTTGCCCAAAATATTTTTATCGACTATTTACTGTTCACGTTTTTCGGAAGAATCGATAAACGCCCGTACTTTAAAGAGAGGGGCTTAAAACCTCATAATACAGATTGGATACATGCATGTATTAAGTACCTACATTCGAACTGGGAGAGAGGAACTAAGTTTTCCCAACTAATTGATAACGAATTATGATTTATGAAAATTAAAATAATTTTTTTTTTTTTTTTTTTTAAGTCCTAATTCGTATTATATAGCTATGGGGACCAGATACAGAAGTCCAAAAAAAGTACATTTTTAAATTTTAAATCCGTCATTATAAAAAAAAACCCCTCCCTTGAAAGAATTGGTCAATGTGTATACTACCCTAATTCTATCTAATTTGCTCGTAGCTCATCTTTATCTACATACATTTTTTTTTTATCTGATTATTCTATTATTATTTTATCTATTATCAACTATAAAAGCTAAGTAAAACTATAACAGGTGGTTATGATGTTGACGTTTTTTTTTCGTCAAACAGTGGTTCTCCAGGTGTCGTTACCGTTGTCATTCACTTGCAGACGTTTGGAATGCATTAGGTCGAACCATGGAATATTAAAATCAAAATGAATAATCAAATTATACAAAATCATAAACATGTATTGGCCCATAATATTTTCAAAAAAGTACAATTTTATGTACTTAATACTATTTCTATGGACATGAGACAATGCATAAAAAAGAGCACTGTCCTACGAAAAAGAGCACGTCTGTTCACCACCTATATAGTGTATGTGTATTAAAGATATTAAAGTAGTTTTGTGTGGAAGCTATAGCGCCCTCCCCCATGGCTATTGCTTGGGAAACTCATCTTAATCCACTTCGACAAAACTTTAATACACCACTGACCTTGCAACCCGGCGATTTACGCTACATAATAATAGAGGCAAGTACACAGATTTAAAGTAAACACTGTACAGTAATGTGTACGCCATTCTCGAACACACCCGAGTTGTACCTAGATAGGTACTATAACACGCGAGTTCAGAGTACATTCTGGTAAATGTAATCGTTCGAACGAGCTTATAAGTACTGTCAGCGTCTTGTAACTCATATTGTGGTTCAAATATTGAACTCGTTGATAAAAAAAAAAACAACACATTACTGTTGAATCAAAGACCAACGCGGTCGGTTATTATCGAGGATTAGGAAAATAAATGAAGAATACAATTTTTTTTTTTACATTTTTATTTTCAACACAACTTTTTGTTTAAAAATTAATTACATGCATACAAACGAAAATATTATTGATAAAAAGTCGCTTATAATTAATGTATGATTACATGAACTATAAAGACTAATCACACAACATAATAATAATAATAATATAAATAATTAATATTTTAATTTAAACAAATGTTATTGTGTTTTTTTTTTTTTTTTTGTTACCTATAGTAAATTGTTCGGATAAGATCAGTTTTACTACCTATATATTTTTTTGAGCCGTGAACGGCGGCTGTTGATATCTTACTATTGTACTTCATGATTTAAGGTACACCAACTATAACAATCCGAAATCGTTTTCGAAAGTTTATTGGTAGGTACTTAAAAAAAAAAAAAAAACAAAAAAATCACCAACGATACAATATAAAGCGATTATTCATAAAACTGTATGATTATTAAGTTAATAACTATATAATAATAGATATGGTCTCCTATTATACAACACAGAGAAGTAAAAATAGGTATTCAAGAAAACAGTTGGTCCTTAATTAGCATTCAACCCCATTTAGTTTTTTTTTTTTTTTTTTATACAAGTAGTAAAACGTTTTTGCATTAACTTAATATTTTTTATATTTTATATTTTAATCAACAACAACAAAAATGTTCAAATATTATCTGAGCACTAGTATAAGCAAATACCGATTATTTAACTCCTTTTATACAATTCTCAAATAGTTTTAATGAAAAAATAGACTTTTTGCCAAAACAACATCATCAGTCTTTGTTCAAGTACTTTTTTTTTTAACATTTAAAAAATTCTTAATTTTATTTTTCTTGGCGCTACCATATTATTACAGTGTCTACAAAACGTGCGTTTTGATGTAAAACATTCAGTGTTGATTTTAAAATATCATACCGTTTATTTTATTAATAATATATTATTATATCTGTATGTATTTCGTTTTTGTGCATCGACTTCAGTAATAATTTTCGATTTTTTATTGTTATTACATATTATTACGTTGGTTTTCCTGAACAACACCCAGTTTAGATACTTCCACGCGGACAAGAAAAGAGTTGTTTGAAGGATACAAAAAAAATGACGATTGTCCTAACAAAAACAACGGTTATACAATATCATAATAAAACAGTTGTGTGGCACCTATAAATTAATTACAACACATGAATATTGTTTTTGTTTAAGTCTACGTAATAAATTTATAATATTCCCTCTTTTTTTTTTTTTTTTTTCGTTATACAAATAATGATTATTACAATATTATATGAAATGCACTAGCGTACACGTGCGCTTAAATACTAACGATGCGCTTAATTTTTAAACCTAATGTCTTAGTAAAAATAAGTCTAATACGAATTTAAAATATGTAATAGAAAAAATACAAAAAAAAAAAAAAAAAAAAAAAAAAACGTCTACTATAATACACACACATTGGTGTAACCAAGATATGTAGAGTATAGTACGGTATTTCGTGTGTTTTACAATATTATTATTGTGTTTTCACAAGCTCCGATAAACATAAAACACCGCGTTACAAACAAAACGCTATCGTTTTTGTGTATAAATGATAACTAGA